AGTAAGTAAAAAAGACTTACACGTTTAAATATAGTGTTGACATTACAACATGCAAAGCATATGGCTTTCTATTCCTCCTGTATATGGCTTTGTGTGCAGCACACAGAGGGAGTCCTTGAGGAGTGTCTCATTGGTCCTCTTGTCTTTTCTTACTGCAAAAGAGAGAAAATCAAAATCATGCCAAGCCCAGCATTTCTGGCATTTATTACATCAGCCTTGTGACCCAGGTTTACCTCTCCCCTGAAGGCTTGGAGGTCATGACCCAGAGTAAATATTCCTTTGCCGCCATGGAGTCCAGCACCTTGTTCACATCGCTGGTGAAGCTTCCATCTACATGTCTCCTGCTGAACGCTTCACGTTGCCTGTCCGTTTCAGATCTACGTATGTACACAGGCACACAATGTAAACACTGCCCATTCAGGGTCAGTAACGACACAATGTGGAAACCTGCCATTTGAATATTGACCTGCAGTGCAGCGTTCATCAGGAAATCATCCTTTTTATTATTTTTCTAAGCGGTGAAGACATTGTGTTGCTGTGATTCTTTCATGATTGGTTCATTGTCTGCTCGCATGTTTGTGTATCCAAAAGAATCATCTCACACAGTCATCACACCGTGTAGTAACACATCAATCAACACAGTGCAAACGTTCAGGTGATTTATTTTAGCACAACACACACGAGGAAAATGAAGAAAACAGAGCAAAGAAAGGGAAAAGGTGAAGTGGCACAAGAAGCAGCTGATTAACTCTTTCTCTCTGATTCAAGAGCTCTCTGTCTCTCTCGTCATGGTGGAATCAGACACAGGCAGCCTGGCAGGCCGTTAGGGTTTTTGGTACTGTAGGAGGAAGAGAAGGAAGGAGGGACAGCCTACTCTCTTCCGTCTTGTCCAGACTTCAGCCTGGCAACAAAGTCTTTGACTGCCTGGTTCTTGAAGTAGGAGCTCGCGTCGTCCGTGAAAGTCCCATCTGCGTGGCGCTTTTCTGCAGCACTAAAAACACACAGTGCTATACTTAATGTTTGTTTTTATGTAAATTTCATCCTGAAAGTAACAATTCTTTTCATCAGCTTCTAACTTGAGTAATAGGATCCTACATGAATAAACTATTTTCGGCCAAAGTTAGGGCAGTGTTGCTTCTTTCACATTAGCAATTTTTGCATTTCTTTTTTCTATGCGTTATTCTCACTAGTTTGAAGTGGCCAGGGCTTAGTTAGAAAAAGGCAGGAACCACTGGACTAAACTACCTACTGTATCTGAAATAGATTAACTAGCTCCACATAGAAAATACAAAATGTATCTAACATCTAACAATGTAATATGACATATATGTTTAAAAAATATTTACCTGATAATACTTCTGTACTGAATGCAGGCCTTTTACTTGTAATGGAGTATTTTCACATAGTTGTAAAACATCTAAGAGCTTCTTCTACCACTGCTGTTTAGCCCCTTAAGCTAATTATGATATCCTGAGCTTGAATATAACTAGTGTTTCATTGTCCAAAAAATAGGGCCAACAAGTCAGATCTTTTAACAAAATGTTTCTTATGATGATTTTTTAAATTTTATTCTTCCACTGACCCGCTCCTCTTGTTATTCATCAGCCACCGAACGAAGTCCTGCGCCTTCCTGTCCTCCAGGTATTTGCTGTAGTCGTTTGAGAAAGTTCCCTCTGAATGTCTCTTCATGTTCGAAAGCTCCCTCAGGTCATCCACTAATGTGTCGTCTGCCTCAGAACTACAGGAGGGAAAATGTAGCTTGAGAATCACACGAGGTTTGAACATTTTGTAAAATGTTTTTTTTTTACTAGAAATATGTTCCATAGCATTAATTTCCTCAACATTAACTATATACTCTCTCTCCTTCAATGGCATGATTCCCATTTACATTTGTAAAATTTGACACCTGCCTATACGGTACACTGAGTGAACTATAAAAAGTACTGTGCCATTTTCCTGATTAACAAAATAAGCATATCATGAATTTCTTTTTTATGCTGAATTTTCATCGATTATTGATTTTTTTTCAACCTCCAATTTCTCACATTTAAACAGTTGTAGATGTTATAGTGCAGACAGCACTAAAATAAATAAAAGAAAGGTAAAAATGTAAAGACACGTGTACTAGTTCCATTTGTACATAATAATATAATAAATCTGAAGCCACAGTAATGTCCCTTTTAAAACCAATCCAACGTGAACTTTTCACATTACCAAAATATATGGGTGACATTTGCATAGATTGCTCCTCAGCACGTAAGATGATGCAGACGAGTGAAGCGTCTGTATCTTCCATCTTTACTCAATGTGTTCTTCCAACTGTCTTCCAAAATGTTTTGTGTTTTAGAAATTTTATGATCCACTTTTACAGCATCATAATTCTTAAGGAGAAAGTGAATGAATTGTAAGGCTACTGTGACATATATCGCTCCTCACTGGGAATGAATCATATTTTTAATTAAAGTGCATCAAATAACTTTATGCTTTTGTTATATACAGGTTTTCTTAGCTGAAAATTTTTAGCATCTTTATTTAGGATACATGAAGGGGGGGGATTAAAATTTCAGTTTGAGTATTGCATCTTTGTTATGATTTCCCCCATCATTTTGCAGACATTGGATCAACAAGCCTGCAGTTTGGCCACAGATAATTTGACTTCTTTTAGTAAGTTCTATAAGTAACATATTTTATAGTAAGTTAAAGGCCATCATATCAAACTATGCTGACTCTCAGGCTAGTTTGCTATTTGGAAATGAACTTACAATGACCAACCTATGCTGCACTTTTATGATTCAGTCAGATTTCAATCAGATTTTAACACTTTTTCCATTTCTGTACTCCATAGTTTTCATACAAAGCTACTAAAAGCAGCAAAATCTGAAAGGAGACATGACTTCAGATGTAATTTCTGTACCTGGAGCTGTCGTCAGCCTCGTGCAGAGAAACCTCACAGCTGCTCGGGACAAAGCAGAGGATCAGAAGGACACCAGCCAGGGAGGAGATGCTTTTCATGGTTATGACCTACACCACCACAGAACAGTGCGCGCACACGCACACAGAAAAAAAAAAGAAGTTTACGTGTTGGATCAGAAAGCTAAAGTGGTTTCGCCGTTACAAAAAACCACTTACCTTTTTTCCTTTCTTTCCAAAGAACGGCGCTGTTAGTTCCTCTGCTTTTGCTGGTATCTGTACCTGACACTCCCCTCTTACTTTGTGGCTTTATATACTGTAATAGGAGAAGGAGGAGGAGGGTCTGCTCAGGTGGGCCAATTTTACCACTCTGCCAGGTCCACCTGTTACTCTCAACCCATTAGATGTGCCCGGTCACATCGGCCGAATCAACAAGCCAAGCATTTGTTCAGAAGGGAAAAATGCTATTCATGCGTGATGCCAGCTGCTACTTAGGTGTTAAGATCAAACAACCTCAGCTCATCCTGTTAAACAGAAAATACGGAAGATGCTTTAATGTGCTACTGTGTCATCATGATGGGAAGTGATATGTGTGCTGTCATATCTAGATGTGGAGTCAGTATTTGTGTATTATTTCCGATTAAGTTGAAAAGATGCAAAATATTGACCACGTTTTGCATCAGTGGAAGTTCTCACCATTTTACAAGCCCTATGGTTCAATAAAGACTGATGCTCTATAAAAGTAAATGTCCCTCTATTGCTATATGACTCTTGCATATAGTCCCATGTATTTTATTTGTTAAAAAAGTTCATCAGCATAAGAACAAAAAAAAATATCATTATTATTTCCAAAAATTCCTGTACACCCAAAGTTTTATTCAATACTTTAAAAAGAGTACTGAATCCTACTGCCAGTAACTGTCCTGAGATAAGTCCTGAAACCTGTGAACCTTGCCATTTTTAAAATTTTAAATTTATGTCCCTTTAAGTCTGCAAAAGGCAGCAGCAAAAAGAAAAACTCTTCAGTCTTGATTTATAAGAACTGACCATTGCAGCAAACCTGCAGTTTTGTGGGAGAATTAAGGCACAGACAATTTTTAATTTATTCAATACATTTACTTATGCTTATATGGGATTATAGTCCCCTGGTGATATGGTCATGGAAATTTGTGTGTAGTCTGCATAATATATACATATTATTAAATATACATAATTATAGTTAAATATTTTGTTATTTTTTATAATCTAAGCCATTGGAAGCATGTAGAATAGAGCCTTGGGGAACTCCACAGGTCATTTTGGGAACGCTGGGGACATGTCCCCACTACTTTTTAAATGGCTCATTTTGTCCCCATCACTTTTTAAAAACATAATTTATTAAAATGCTCTGAAAAATAGCTTGAACCTAGAAATGTTAACAAAGAAACCAAAAAAAATTGAGAGAGGTTTATTTGCGCAATATGCAATGCAATCTAAATATAGAGGAAACAAATTTGCAATTTTAAAAAATTGTCTAAAAGGACACAAAAATGTGCATGTGCATCAGTAACTTTAACAAATTCAGGTCCAAGTTTTCCGTTTTCTCTCTGTGAACATAACAACCTGCCATGCTGTTGAGTTGGGTTTGTGACACCTTGTTTCTCTAACATTAAACACTATACCCTTTTGATACGCCTGGCAATAATTAACAAAACAAAGTGATTTTAGGCATAATGTTCATCATATTAACCATATTAGTTTAGTGTGTAAGCTTTTGGTTTAGTTAGTATCATAAACCAAAGTTTCAGACTAATTGAAAATTTGACCAGATGAAAAGTAAACTTATCTTGGCAGGAACGTGAATATGTGGCATTACTGTTCCTGGCAATCCATCCAGTAATTTTGGGATATTTAAAACCAAAGCCAAAAATATATATTTAATTGAAAAAGCGAAACTTTTGACCTGCTGGTGGTGCTAGATGATGATGATGCCTCTATTGCATGTATAGCCATAAAATCAGACATTCATGTTCAATCCAGGATGAATTGTAATAACTTTAGTGATCCCTCTAAATGTGGATTGTCCAAGCACATGATATTTCAAACTAAAAGAGGTTCTCATTATTTATTCCTTTATTATTTTACAAAACAGTTATTACATAATACAGTCAAAACTTTCATAAATTTAGTAAAACTGTATAAAATCACTGTGGAGCATTATGTTTCTGAACTATAAATACTCTTCATGTCCAAGTACATTTACGACATTTTAAACTATCACATTATTATATCGATTTCTTGCCCAGGTCAAGTAAAAACCTCTTTAAAAGTTAAATTCATGAAACAAACTTCATTACATTGTACATGTAGATGTGTTATAAGTAAAAATACCAGCTCCAATGTCGTGTTTTGGCCCACTTTTTACTCAATACGTTTCCACTAGTAATCAAGCCTGCATTTACATTTGAAGTCTTGATCCCCAAAATTTATATTTTTTATTCACATGAAACAATGAAAAGAGGTTTTTGGGATCCAGTGGACTTCATGCAAAGCACCTCTGTAAGAAGTGACTCATGTGGGTGTAGACGTGTTGATAGGCCGAGCCGCCGAGCCCGTGATCCTTGTCTGTGTACCACTAAAAGAAGAAGGAAAAAACTCACACTAAGCCACATTATTCAACATGAAGAGGATCACAATGACATTTAAATACAATAAGCAAAAAAGTAAGAAATACAAATGACTGTCTAATCATTTCTCCATAAAATGACTTGACAAATCCTTGCAGTCTTGCAGTGATTCCACTTTGAATTTCCCAAATTACTCACCATCGCCTCAAAGTCCACCTGCTTCTCCACTAGAGCTTCAGAGATCTCAGCTGCCTGCTGGAAATGTACATTATCTAGAAAACACAACAACAACAAAGAATTAAATTAATAAGGCATTTGAGGCAATTTGCCCATTTGGATCTGCATTTTGGAGTCACCCATTAGCACCTTAACCTTCTTGCTGAGCATCATTAACTTTTAACTTAGATTCATGTTCACCTGATGAATCTAAGTCCAATATTCACTCTCCTTTTAACCCTTAAGAAAGACATTAAGAAAAGCAAGACAGGTGGGTCAGGTGACCAGGAAGCACAAGCGAATATATCAAAATAAAAGCCAAGAATATAGAAGAAAAATGTAATAAATAAAAACAATTAAATAAACCTGGACCGATGGAATTATTGACATGTGGCTTAATATTGTGCATTAATCCATGCACACAGTTAGAGTCACGTTTAAATTAATGAGCACATTGTTTGTTTTAATACAGTTTGTTTAGTTTAGTTAGTTTAACCTAAGTAATTATTGTGTGTGCAGAGTTGTTGCTGTTAGCACTGATATTTATTGTGGTTTCCAGTGTAATGCGGCGTGGTGCATTTTCCCTCTCTACCAGTAGGTGGCAGTACGAGTTTATGTTTGTGTCTTTTAACTGCTTTTTATCGATATGTATGTATTTTATTTGCAGCCTAGTAAAATACAGCATGTATTTACTTTTTATTTTACACACAGTTAACACCAAGCCTTCTGTTCTAACTCTGCTGTCAACTTCTTAGCTGCTCTGACAAAAAACTCACACCATAATTATTAATGTGTTTTGGTCTAAAGAATGATTTACCACTGTGCTATATACTGCGTGAACCTCTCCCAGCCCTGTTATTTCAAAGTGGCTGTCCGAGAAAGCTTCATCTTTACAAATATTGACACAGTGGACAGTCAGGGCCACTCCTAAAACAGTGATATAAATGTAAAGTAAATATACGCTGTATATAGGTTGCAAATTAAATACGTCTGTATTGATGCACATAGATAAGATTCTTGCCTTTGGTGTGGGAGAACTGGGTTCAGTTCCCACTGTGAGACATCCACCATTGTGTCCCTGAGCAAGACACTTAACCCCTTGTTGCTCCAGAGGCGTGCGACCTCTGACATGTATAGCAATTGTAAGTCGCTTTGGATAAAAGCGTCAGATAAATGTAAATGTAAATTGATAACCTGGATTTAAAACAGCTAGCAGACGCAAACCAGGCACACATTTAAATACACTCTGCCAGTAGGTGGCAGAGAGAGGAAACATCAGCTTAATCTACTTTTTCTACGTTCACAGAAGCAACGGTGCATTATGGTGGAAACCTGTTTAGATTTTTTAATGTCTTCAAATGGAGAAATTAAAAAAGGAATTTGCAAAACCACCCACGTTTCCAGCGACATTATGTAACATTTTTCATAACCGGGTTCAGCAGCCTCTAAGGAAATAACGTTAGCTAAAGGCAGAAGCGAAGAGACGGAAGAGGAAGTTGATGGAGGAAGCTAAAAAGCGATAAGGAGAGTGACCAAGCAAGAGTCTGCCAGATGCTGGTGAGAGCTTTGTGAAATTCAAGGCTGCAAGACAGGCGCTGAGCGGTGTATAAGTGATTTGCAAAAAATATCAACTCTTACACAATGTTACTTTAAACATAAACATTTAGTTAATGCAAACCCTGTTCTTATGTGGTAAAACTAAAATGTACAATCAAAAATTCATCTTTTACCCACTAACATTATCAAAATTTGACACGTTTTGGTGTCACTTTGACTAAATCTGACAGTCCATGGGGTACCCAGAATACAAAGGCTCAAGAACATAAACTTATTCTCATTTTTTGGGATTCTACACTAAAAGAGGTTACTTGTTAAGGGTTTGGCACTCACTTTGGTAACCACTGCTGTATTGGAGGGAAATCAGGTTTTATTAATGAATTCAGATGAATATATGAATATATAGTACATGTAGAAAAATCCCTGCATAACTCACCGTCAGCTGTTCCATGAATCAGAAGATACTGCACTGAATGGAAATTGTTGGCCCTGGCAGTTACCGTTGAGTTCTGCACACAATCAGATTTGTGTTTATTGGTGACCACAGGTAATGTGTCGTATACAAGAGACAAGGGTTTGATCATGATATCACTGTGAGTGTGAAGCTTACAGTGTAGGCAGAGGGATTCTCTGAGGGCTCCATCATGTAACGCTCTGTGTAGATGGAATCTGGAATAAAACAGACAGATAATTGCAGATATTGTGTGTCCTTAAAGTGGGTTGTTAACATTAATAACTGCTTCCTAAAGACAAATACCATAATATTCCCATTTGGAGACCGGAGCGACCGCCATTCCACATTTGAAAACTCCACTTCCAGATCCCAAGGCCATTGACGTTACGTATCCACCATAAGACTGAAAGATAAGCAGCTCATTACTGTAGCTCATCTCAACCCTAACCCTTAAGTAAAGATCAAGCACACTGACACAGGGTGGAACATTAACTTATTTTCAGAGCCTTTTATTGCCCTCTGAGCTATGAAATAACACAGATGTATTGCTTAAGGAACATGAAACTAGTATCCACCTACAAGTGCGTCAATTTGTGTTGAAAAGTGGTGGGGGCTTAAGGTCTCTGATTAGGGGTGTAATGATACCCACAGGTCACAAGACATGACGATGGACAAGAACAAGATGAATCATCTTCAAAAATCACCGTGTTTTGAAGAAATATGAAATGCTTAAATTGATATAAGGGGGGGGGGGGGGGGGGGGGGGGTCTAGGAGTCCTTCCCCAGATAATTGGAACATTAAACACTTAATTTCCTGCATTCTGGAGACATTTTCTGCTCCAGTTTATAGTGGATTTGTCTTTATTTATATAAAGAGAAACACAAATTCAGCTGGCAGGTGACACTTCATAAATACAAAAATATAACAGAATGTAAAACTGGACAGTATTTTTTTCTATATTTAAATTGCATTGCATGCTTTATTATAGTGCAAAACCTTTTATTTGTTATTTTACATTTCTTAGTACAAGCTATTTTTTTTTAGAAGATTTTAACAAATGCTTTCAGAAAGTAATGGGGACAAAATCAGCCATTTCAAAAAGTGGTGGGGACATGTCCCCAACGTCCCCAGTGTAAATGACACCTATGCCTACGTTGTATTTTTTCATGACAACTTACCCAGCCCCAAATAGCAACTCTGTCTTTGTCAATGTAGCCAAATTTGATGAATTCCCTAAAATATAAAAAAGAAAATTATCTCAATTGAGGGCAGCAAATTCAAAGGATGCAAACTGCTAACAAAGGCCTCATCGACGTCGTCACTCATTGATGGTTTTGGCATTTCCTGTCTGTGTATGCTTGGGAGAGTTTTGACCACAGAAACAAGTCAAATCCAGTTTTATCAAGCTTTCCTGGGAAAAGCTGAAAGATGAGGCTGTTTGTTTGAGTGTGGAATGCATTGACTGGTCTAAACTGTGCCTTGTTTTCCTCACCTGGCAGCTGTTATCTGATCTTCCACCTCATAGGTTCCCAGACGTTTGTAGATTGCATGCATTATCTTGTCACCTTGGTAACCGCTTCCTCTTCCATCAAAGCTGGCGACGATGATTTTCTCAGTGCTGGCCAGGTAGGTGGACCAGCTCACCCTGTAGACAAAATCGGCTTTCTGACTGCAGGGACCAGCGTACCTGGGAGGTTGGGCAACATTCAGTTTATGAGCTCTCTTTAGAAAAGCATTTACAATCTTATAATTAAATTTGATTGCTTTTTTTTGATAAATTCTTACACATCTATTAGCAAAGGGTACTTCTTGGATTCATCAAAGCCTGGAGGCAAAAACATCTGGTACCAGAGATCTGTCAAAAATATTAAGATCCATAGACAGACATAAATGACTTATTCATGTTTGTAAAAAACAGTAGTGGAAGAAATTCTCTTTTTTACTTTAGTAGTTCCTAACCGTCAAAGAGACACAAAGTAAACGTGATGTTTCGTAAGATGAGATATGGGGTAGGAAGTTCTGCTACACACATTTTGTACTATTTCTTCAATTTTTGCATTCTATCTCTTCAGTCCTCAAACAATCAAAAGAATAGTTTTGGGACATACCCTTATTCTGCTCTGTTCAGTAAACAACAGCTAGCTTGACTCTGGCCAATGGCAACTAAATCTGCCTACCTGCACCTTGTTTGTTTAATTTGTCCTAAGGCCCGATTTACTAACATCCCGATTAAAGAGTACTGAATTGCGTGTGCATTCTAAAATATTGCACGTGCAATTTTAGCACCTGTTATGGGTGATTTACTAAGAATTATTGCGTAGATGACAACAGGAGCAAACACAATGGAGGTGGCAGTATTTAAATGCGTGTTTTAATGGTTTCCGCCATGGAGAGTCGGGAGGGAAAGCAGCCAATGCGTAAAAACCTTGGTTTGTTTCGTTCAGTGCGTCCAGCGTATGTGGAAATCGTATGTATCTGCCCATCTTGCCTGAGATTGCACTAAGAACTTGAGACAGCACGCCTGGAAAAACTGCTTTGGGAAACCCCTGCAGAAACAGCTATAGTATGCTGGAATGACCCAGACGCGAGGAAATGCCAGCAGCTCAGTGCTTCATCTAATACAACAATAACAGCAGCCATCTCTGCACAACACTTGGCGGTTTGCACCTTCCTTTCAAAGACATCTTCCTTTCAAATGTATTAAATACAGAGGCTGTTGCACTCACATGAAATTGCGTTTAGGCTTGGTAGATCACATTGCGTGTAGTAAATAAATGTATTTGCATGTTACTCCCCAAATTGCATATTCATTAAGGTAAAAGTACTAAATGAACAACAGGTGCTATCTTGCACTTTTGAAAGACGTCACTCTGCATGCACACAGTTAGTAGATCAGCTTACGTGGTAATTTGCTGATGACATCAAGTTTGCACACGTCTTTACTCACGCAAACCTTTAGTAAATCAGGCCCTTAGTGTACAGACTAAATCGATCTTCTCAACTAACTCTCAGCAAGAAAGGGAATTAGGGTATGTCCCAAAATGTGAGACTATTACTTTGACTGTTTGAGGTCTGAAGAGGTAGAATGGTGCAATATTTCACAAAAAGCAAAAATTTAAGAAATTTTAAGTAAAAATGTACAAAAAGAGAGAGTAAAAAGTTCAATATTTTGTCTCTGAAATTCAGTCCACTGGTTAAATATGAAATGTTGAATAAATTTACCGTATCCATCAATTTTAATGGAGCGTCGACGCATGGTGGGCATTTGGATGTCAGCTATCAGGCTGCTAAATGCAGTATTGTTCTCCAAAACCCTTATCTCTACAAATGCACAAATATAGAAGGGTCATTAGAATAACATTTTCTCCTCCTTGATATTATTTCAGATGTTATTGCAAATTTGTGGATTACCTTTTTCATTCCTGTTATCCATGAGAGAATAGAAAGGAATGCCAGGACCTTTGTGGGAACAATTACAATAATATATTTATTTGTTTGTAATAAAATAAATAATAATGTTGTTATATATACATTATACAGACAGTGGTATATTGCAAAAAATCTGAGAGGGAAAGACAACAACGAAAGTATAACTGACCACTGCAGCTCATGCGGTAGAAGGAGGCATTTTGGCTGAAGTAGGCTGAGTTGTACTGACAGTTTTCTTTATTTAATGCACAAGTCAGACACTTGGTCCCTTGTTTGGTCCACCTGACACACACACACACACACACACACACACACACAGAGTAAGTCTGAGGAAATGCTTTTTCATTTAAAAATTATGTCTTCAAATAACAAGCAAAAATAGTAAAACAGTAAAATAAAGACCCTTACTTGTAAACATTCCTTCCCCCTGGCCTCCCGCCCTCTTCGTTACTTGAATAATATCTGTGGAATAATTGGTATGAATGATTTGAGAGAAAGACCAGTAAAGGAGGAATTCAGCTCATGGGATATGACTTAGCAGAGACAGCAAATATGAACAATTTTGGTGCATAAAAAATACTGCACATAATTCAAACTTACATACTATCTGCAGTTACTTTCAGGATGTCGGTGACTTCCCATTCTCCAGATGTGATTGGTGTAGCTGTGTCCTGCATGAATGAGTCAGAACAGTATGCGTTATTAATTATGACTATTGTGCTATGAGTGTGTGTGCGTGATCTTGCACAAGACAAAACAAAAAAGATAAATATATAAATATTCTACCCACCCGGACCACATGATGGATGTGCTTGTACCCTTTGGCGTCGCTCATCAACAGGTAATAGCTGTTCTTGTCTGCTGCAAAAACTGGTTCTGGTGGAGAGAACTGTAGGAAGAACAAGATTATTAGCATATACTCATAGTATATATATATATATATACAGTCATTCAGCTCCAAGCCCATATGTTCCTAGTGAGGACATAAATCTTTTAAAACAGCTCACAAATATACAGTTAGATTTTTGTTTTAAATACAGTAATACAGTAATTTTTAGCTAATGTTAATCTAATAGGTGAAAACATTTGTTGGGGACTATTTTCAGTGGTGGATTAATCTACATTTTGTGCTCTAGTGTTTGGTGCACGGTGTGACACCACAGCGGTGTATGTGGGATTAATCAAAATAAAATACAATGTGTGTGTTACATAGTCATCCAGTGCAACAGTTTGGCTCATTGATGTGTTTTTAATGTTTTTTTTTTGACAACAATGGAGCTCTGTAGCGCAGACATACACACCCACTATTTGTTAGTAAGATCAACTAATTGTTGTCTTTGGTCTTTTCATGAAATTTGTTTGCAATAAAAAAGAGAAAAATATTTGTACAGATTTATCCATTAACAGTGTACAGGACATACCCGTCCAATCCAACCGGTGGAACTTTTCACCTCCAGATGCTGAAAAAATAAATAGAATTGTTTGTTTTTTAGCTGCACTAAGTTACATGTTATAACAATACACCAGCCTTGTCAGTCTAAAAACCAAGGCAACACATTTTAATTTAGAAACCCTTTTGCTTACATGGGAAATTTCCAACAGCAAGGCTGCTGTTACACATGCAACATTTTTACACAAATTAATTTCATTAAAGCTGCACTGCTGCAGTCAATACAAATGCTGTGTGAACTTTCGTTGCTTCAAGATTAATGTCTTTTTTGCGATTACGTTAAATCAACAACCAATCATGGGATTTCAGTTTGGTACCACGGTAATCAGTAACAAAGATGTGATTAGCAAGATTTTGTGACATAGCGCTAAGAAAGAGAAATGTCCATGATTCAGTGTTGTTGTAGGTGTAGATGTAGATCTTGCTATTTTTGTACAGATGTTTGTGGTCCCCAGAGGATGAAGCCTAATGGCTTTGGTGATCCCAATATAGTGCAATACTTCAAGTCAAACATTTCACTAACGCAGTGAAATCTCTCAAACATCAACAGCTGTACTTTGTGTTTAGTGCAAATTAGCAAATGTTAGCATGCTAACACACTAAACTACTAAACTACTAAACTGCTCAACAAGTCTATGGCTCAGGAGGTAGAGCGGGTTGGCCATTAATCAGAAGGTCGGTGGTTCAATCCTTAGCTCCCCCTGGTTGTCGAAGTGTGGGCAAGATACTGAACCCCGAATTGCGCCTGGCGGCTGTTCCACCAGTGTGTGAATGTTAGTTTCCATTTGAGCACTTACGCTCAGTGTGTGAATGTGGTGTAAAAGCACTTTGAGTGGTCGAAAAGGCGCTATACAAATACGGAGTATTTACATAACTGTTAATTATCAGCATGTTAATATCCCGAACATGTTAGCACACTGATATTAGCATTTAGCTCAAAACGCCGCTGTGTGAAAGTACAGCCTGACATAACCGCTTCAATAAGAGGAACATCTACCAATAACTCTTTCAATGCACTTAGGCTCAGTGTGTGAATGTGGTGTAAAAGCGCTTTGAGTGGTCGAAAAGGCGCTATACAAATACAGAGTATTTACATGTAAACATATGTGGAAATGGGGATATTGTGTTAAGAGAGACTTGAAAAAATGCCCTATAAATCATTTATGTGTGACTAAATTTAACCAAGCAATGCATGGCAGCTGGTGTCACGTTCGCAGTTGTGCTGAAAGCAATTTAGACAGAATAAACTAAGTGCAGGTCTATAAAACCTTTACCTTATCTTCCCTTTCAGTAAAAAGTGTTGCTAGGTGTAGGCTTTATTGCTGCTGAAATGGTTCATGTACTTAAAACTCATCATGAAGATGTTTGTATAGTTCTATGACACCAGTGTAATATTTGTTATAATGTAAAAAGAACAAATAAACTAACAATAATACCTGGTCATAACTTTATGATTTACCTCGACAGGATCCCATGTGTTTCCACTTAAGTTGTAGATCTGAAGAATGAGGTGGTTTTGTACTCTTTTCAGCCACTGGACAGCAAGACGTTTATCTGTCACCCAAGTGACAGTGGCCAAGTAGTGCTCACTGAGGGCAAGGGAAAAAAAGAAAAGAAATGATAAACTTTGTTTGTTTTCTGATTTCCTTCCCTGACAGCTGGAGACAATAGCCTGACACAAAGTTTAACAGTCTAATAGAAGCTTCTTCATTACCTCGAGCTGAATGAGGGGGGAACAACAACCTCAGTAATTTCTTTTGTGTTGTCAGTGTCCACAACAAACAGTTTCACAACAGGGTTGGGAGTACCTGGCTGCACAAAAATGAAATGTAAGAAACACCAGATAATAATGATAATGCAAAGCACGTCTGAACCCAGAGGAGACAGGTCATGGACATGCAACAATACAATAATCCCAGCACAAGCTTGTTAGAGTGAACCAAGCCCTGAATGGTCCCACCTTTGGGTATGGAATGGAAACAGTCCTGGGGTACTGGTTCTCGCCGTACCAGGAGTACTCTATGGTGTGGACATCAGTGTCATTGAACTCAGCGTAGGCCACGTACTTCCCTCCAGGTGACCACCACAGGGCCTGATTGGATGAGAACATCTCCTCTGGAAGGGGGGGGAAATGTGAAGCTGAGTTTCTTCATTCAGGACTCCCATGGGGGTTAAGTTTGGGGTTCAATTCCCGCTACAACACTGCATGTACTGATGCTCCTATAAGCTGCAGTAGCCTACTTTGTGTTGTTGTATGAGGATACTGCAGCAGTATGGTTAAATAAATGTGTTCTTACTACAGCTGAAAAATTACATCAGCCCTGTATTGGGTAATAGTTCAACTGCCTCTCTTACAAAAATGCATTGTCATCAAGCAAGAATTTCACAATAACATTTCCAAGAGTTCTTATCTGAATTCAATTTGTTCTGATTACACTGAACTGTTATGAATGTTATTCCTGAGGAGACACTGTTTCTGATTATCTAAGTGGTGAAGCCAAGTCAATTTTATTAAGGGGGCTTTACAATCTTTCCAGCATACAACGTCCTCTGTATTTTCTCAGACCCTCGATTTGAATGGGGGTGAAGAAAAATGAATGAAAACAGAAAGAGCAACAGAGGAGTTAGTATCATACCCTTCTTGTCTTTTTGTCTTATTCTGGTCATTGTTGAGTGAATACTTTGTTACTTTCCATTTAGTTATACCATATTCCCACCTGCCATTCACATGTGTTCTGTACCGGGATACTTTATTTTGACCCGCATGTTAATGTTGAGTGTAAATGCACGCAGAGCACATTGGAATCCGAACGCCATGGGATCAGCTAGACCATATTTGCAAGATCCAATCACAATGTAGGCAAAATAGGGATATTGGGATCTCTTGTTAATAGCAGGTGTAAATGCAAATACCTCTGGCTCAGATGTCATTATAATGTAACCGTATACAAATCACATGTTAATACCGAGTATAAATGGAACCTTATAGTTCAACATGATTCCTATACATCATGTGCCACTTACCCTCATACACCCAGTCCGGGATCCCATTCAAAATCAGACCTTCCATGCCGTTGAAAGTGACTTGCTGTGATGGTGACTTAGGGTTTGTCTTTATATAAACATTGTTTTCCCAAACATAGGCCTGAAAATGCAATAAAAATACATAAGTACAGGAAAGACACTCTCTGCTCAAGTGTTTCAAGTGATCCTCTCATCTATCACCCACTTCAATGCTGAAGTGTCAATCAAAGCTATGTACGTATAAGCAATAATTTGTCTTTTCCAAGCTTACCAGTTTGTTCCCTTCAGGAGCCCAGGAAAAGTACTGGACTTTATCAGGAATGGTAGAGGTTGTGATAAATGAGCTGAAATTAAGTGAGAAAAAAAATACTTTGTACCATACTATTACTTTGTTTCAAAAGAAATATTTTTTTAAAAATATATACATTGCATGCATAACATATTTATAATTTATAATTAGGATACTTACCCTAATTCACGGTCATAAAGTGAATATGAACCTGTAAATGAATGCCTCCACAGCTAATGGGAGAAAACAAAAAACAAACACTGTAGTGTGATCACTTCAGGAGGTTTAAATAGGTATCATATTCATTTGAAAACCATAGCGTACCTTGGAACGGTTGCTCATGAATGCAACATATTTGTGGTCAGCAGACAGCTGGTAATCATAAGCATTTTTTTCAGTCTGTGTTGGAAAAAAGAAAACAGTCCAAAGAGTTTTACAGAGCCCCTACTCACGACCTCACTGACAACAATGCATTTGTTTTGACGGGTATGTTCTCATATTGATATCATGTGGTTTAAGTTGCTTATACAAAAGAAGCACACAAATGCACACGAGGAGGATGACTTACAAACTTGTCTTTGCTCAGGAACTCTGTGACAGTCCCTGTGACCACGTCGTTGAGGAAGACTGAGCCCTGGGACTTATACAGATACTCATGATCTGTGGAGGACGATGGAAAATATGAATGTAAAGTAGAACAGAATATTTTATTTAAAATGTAGGACAAGCATGCAAATCCATATAAAGGGGTTCAAAACCACATGCTTAAGTAACAAATGCATGAGTCACAATTATTTACTGCTTGAATTAACACAGCATGTATCATGAACCATTTCCTGGACACGTCACTGTGAGTTTATATGATTATGTTAACACTTAAAGGGCCACTCCACATATTAGCGTACAGCCTGTGAAAACAGTTGTGTTATGTCTTCTGACGTCTGAGGAGCTTTGTCAAGTTAGACCCTGATGGTGTCACAGTGATGTCATCAGGGAGTAAAAGTATACTAGGCACTAATGCTGCGTCGGAAATTTCTGACCGCCAACTAGAAAAAGTACTGCAGAACGCCACTTGAAGTCGGATTTCCTACGCGTGAACTTCAGGAGTAGCAGCTGAATGATGTCACACAACACTGGCAGCTCACATGGAAGCACACATGGTATATGGTATATTGTATTGTATATCTCTGCCTCTGCTGCACTGATTTTGACCATTGGTTTCTCAGTCCATCTCTTGTGAGTCCATAAAGTTAAACTTTTTTTCAGCCTGATCCAAAGTGGTGGGCTTACCAACCAACCAGTAGACTGACAGTGCCTTCCAAACAGCCTTGCAGCGAGCATGGCTAAAAAACGGCTTTAAATTTCAATGAGTTAAAGCTCCTGTTCTGCGTTCAGAGAGGCTGCATGGATCTGCAACGCCCTTTTCTGTCCAGCTAATTTGGTGGCATGTAGATTAATATAGATGTAGATTCATGTATGAAGTCATTAAATGATGATCCGTTAAGTGTTACCTTACCACATAAACTCATTGTGACTTCCCTTGAATTAATTAAGCATGTGTTTTGAACTCACATTATAGTGTTCTCAACTAAATGTGAAAAAATATCTCCATTTACACACACAGACACTTGAATGAGGGGATCGATCTAAGTGAATTAGTAACTTGTTAGTTTTTATTACTAACAGAGGAGACTGTTGTTATAGATAAAAAAAAACATCCTTGGTGACACATTTACAGTTTAGCGGCCAGTAAACGTTTGGCTGTTATAAATGTCATCATTGTTCACCTCCACTCCTATCACCCACAGGTTTCAAGACAATTCTACTGTCCCCCACCTGAGATCCACATCATGCTGTAGGACTTTGGCTTTAGTGAACTGTTGAAGACATCCTCCAGGGTGAACGATCTCTGGTTCTTGTTGCCCCCCTGCCCCTCTGAAACAGAAAGTTAGAACCTGGCAGTGACTTGATGGTCACTGGTTACAGAAAGGCCCATGATATCACACACACACACACAAACACAAACACACAACACACACACACACACACACACACACACACACACACACACACACACACACACACACACACATCCTGATCATCATCATGAAGCAAGGATACTGCTGTAAAAGCTGTAAGTGATAAGGACAAGTGGAATATTGCTTATGTCAGTGTGTTTGCGGGTAATTTGTATGAAGCTATTTCAAGGCATGTGCTGGATCAGAGAAGCTAAATTGTCCTTCTTTGTGATGCAACGCCATAAATTGAATACAATAAAGTAATTTCCATTAAGACATCTGTTTTATTCTAAATTTATTAGAGTTGAATTGCTTCACATTTCCTATTCCTATTTTGATTTGAACAGTGATCCAAACGGATCATGCGTAAAGATGCGTGCGTCAAGTACTTTCTCTCATACGTGTTTAACGGTGCGTCCAACCACAGATAATACATTAATGCCTACACCTGTTAGGCTCTCATTTAACAGCAAAGACTCACCTTTCAAAAGTACAGCCGTAGGTACCGCTATCAAGATGACGACGACTGCTACCCCAAAGACTCCGAGGAGCACCTTGGCGATGGAAACCTGTTCAGAGGTGAACGAGCAAAAGTCAGAAAAAACTCTCTGTGAAGCATACCCCAACATAGCATCGAAATGTGAGTATAAACAAAACACCACCAACCATTGTTTCTGCGCGTCCGTGAAGTGTGTAACCAATATCTGTCCAAATCACAACTCCATCGATCCAGGCGGCTACACTCGCTGGCAACACTTTACTATAGGACTGCAGTGGGTTTGCGGTTAAATATTATCTCGACTGAAGTTTCAAAGGTACGTGGGACAATAAATGTCCAGCGGAGTAAGGATCGTCAGGTTTGATGGTGTTCCCAGTGTTTTGAGGAAGTGGGCTTGTCAGGCTGTTCCCCATGCTGTCCACTGTACAAAACGTGTAATTCAAACTTTGAGGCAAATCGCCGCTGTCTCTCTGAGAATATGACACATTTATAGACTTAAATATGACAACCATAGTTCTACATGCAAATATCCTTTTTTTTTTTGTTATAAACTGGCAGCATACAGTCAGCTCACCGGGACGTTTACACTGTCCTGTCTATAGTTACAAATGCATTTTTCATGTCTTAACAGGAAATTATTTGGTTATTGTGTATATACACAGTGAGAAGCCTCATATGACTCATGATTGCTTAGTGTCATCCAGCTGATTCTAAATTCCTCCTAACAAAGAAAACAATACTTCGGCTTATAAATACAGAAGTAAAACTCAGAAGTGAGGAAATACACATTTGAAATACAATTAATATACAACATATTAGGGATGTCTTAGGCCAAATTCACAGTTTGACAGTTTTATAAAACACAAATACTGAAATACATTTACTGGACCTTCAGCTGTCAGGGTCAGTGTGTGTCTCTACTAACACCACATGAAGGACATTTATTTAGTACATGGGAACCAGCACACTGGGAGCTGCCACTCCAAACTTGCTTCATGTGTGCTAAAGTTACACATGAAGCATTTTTAAAAGGCGGTTATAAATATTTGTAGTTGTCTGTGTTGGCTAAAAAAATCTATTTAAAAGTAATTCCCGCACAGCTGTATCCCGGCAGAGCTTAGAACATTCTTAGAAATCAGCTTTTAGTAGCAACATGTAGGGGTACTGTAGCATGGGACCCAGAGGAATCTGCCTGCTCCTGCTTTATTTGCTCTGGCAGAAGCATCTGGCCCCTCCTGTTTAGACAGATTTCCACACCTCTGGGATCTGGTCTGGCCAATCACAACTGTTAACTGTCTAATATGGGGCGTGTTTGATACCATGACTGTACAGATGGTTGACCAAACCCTTTGTTAAGGTAAAACAGATGTTCTTGCCATAATTATCTGTAGGTCTATCCAATTGCATCCAGAGGCATTCTGGTCTGCATCATTTATAACGCCCCTTGGTAATCAAAAATCAACTGAGAGGCTACAGATTTAGAGTGGGGATGCCAGACTAGGGAAACTGAAGACAAGAAATAACGTATTTTTCTTCTTATTGTAAGTGAAACTTTTAATACACTCAGGGGTTTTGATGCTACAGCCTCACTTGGTCTGGTATGACCAGTACATTAGGACAAACTTAGGAAGGTGTTACTGTTACACCATGTTTGCACATTTAATATTATTCCATTAAATGTGCAAACATTCATCATCCAGGTACATACTTTTTAGGCTGTAATTAACATTCAGGCAACATTCAGTGTATTAAATTGCTCCCCCTTCCAAATGTAAATTGTAGCTTAAAAAGGTTTTTCCAACATCATTTGCCAGTTCCTTCTTTATGATCATCACAGATTAGATAAGTCAAATTAAGGACCAAAGCGTTTTGCCTGAATTCACCTAATAGGTCCACTTCATTAGAAGTCCCAGTATTTTGTACATATTTGACATAAATATGATATTATATACAGTTTAACATCCCAGAAAATACATGAGGCATTTAACGCTCTGCTTCACCTTTGCTTAACTGTTTTCAGCCATGCTGGCGTGGATTTAGACATGACTTTTGTCATATTGACAAGTACAGTAAGTGCATTTTCTCGTGTTTCTTTCTTCACATTTCTCACTACTCAGGAGTTTGTGGTTTGATCCCCTGCTCCTCCAGTCTGCATGTCAAAGTCCTTGGGCAAGACATAGAACCCCAAATTGCTGTGTGAGTGTATGAATGTCAGTTTCTTATGATGAGCAGTTCGCACCTTATCATCAGTGTATGAATGCGTGTAAATGGGGTGAACATGACTGTGGAATGTAAAGCGCTTTGAGTGGTCGGAAGACTAGAAACGTGCTATGCAAGTACTGTGCATTTACATTTACATTCGTGTGTCGTGGCCCAGGTATGACCAGTCTATACCTCAGATGACTTTGAACGGTTAAATGACTGATAACATAACAAGAAAGCTAATAAACTGACTGTCATAAATGCCATACACTATATTTACATTATCATTAATATCCTTCCTGTTTCAGTCTAGTTCCTGAATGCAGCGTGAGAACTGTGTCACTGACTGTGGCAAAAGAACATTATATATATTTTAGACAGAAGTACATGGCGGTATCAATCACGCACAGGTAGAGCAGGTAGGCTCTGAAATAAAAATCAATTTTAGTCCATGTTGCAACAGACTATGGACATTCTCCTCTTTGTACATGCTTTAAGTGCTGACCAGTCACTGTAAATGCTAAAAGCCTGTTAAAAGCTTAACAAATATAAAGCTGTGGCTTTATGAGGAATATACATCATATTCTGCAGTTGTTCCCTTCACACCGGACATCCTCAGCAAACAAATAGACAGTGGATGTCTTCCCTAATGCAGCGTTGCTTGTTTGAAGAGTATTACTTCATAAATGCCTCCATTTGCCTGACACTAAGAGTGACTAAAAACGTTAAAAGGTGTCAAGGTTTGAACACATGTCGCTCTTATGTAGTGGACAGATTTAGTGTTGGTGTGTGGAGACAGACATCGAGAGAGATGGAACAGAGAAAAAAGGAGAGAATGAATGAAAACAGCCATTTATACATTACAGTGATTGAGAGAGCTGTGATTAAATGGCCATTTAAATTCCTTGTACAATTGTTTCTTTTTGTCTATAAAATGATAAAAGTAAGGTTATATCATATTAATAGTTTTAACTCTATCATACAATGTCTTCCTATCTAATGTTACTTCTAAATCAATGTTTTTGTTATTAATTAAAAAACGTAGGTATAACAGGACACGACGTTTCCTGTATCTCTCTCTTTAGCTGTTCATATTAAATAAAGGCAATAATAGACCCCAAAAAACTCTCCTCTGGAGAGTTTCCTCTGTCCTGTCATGTCACTTTTATAACTACAGTTTTTTTTGTTTTGCTGCTTAAATGCCCCACAATATTTGCTTTCACATTCCTGCGCACATGGAAACGTTTAAAATGACTGACAGCAGCCTCTCCAATCATGAAAGTAAATTATTAAAGACAAACACAAAATAAAGAAACCACTGGGGGAGAGGGGAGAGATGTGACCCCGACTGGTTAATCATAGTTTATAATAACGCAGCGTAGCGAGGAACTAGACGTTTCATAGAGAGGACTTCAGTCTGCAGTGGAGTTCAGACAGCTACAGCACATGAGACTGTTTATATCCTGCACTGGAGGCTGAGTAGTTGCACTTGTAAGTCAGAGAGTTAAAATGCCCAGTGTTTATTCAGTGGCATAAACAAAGTTGGGTTTTAATATCAGCAGAGGTGGTTTAACAGTCAGTACTATAATTGCATTCTTGGCTTGAGATTAAGTTTGGAAGTTATTGTTTGGAGAACTGTGAAGGAATCACTGTTAGAAATGGGTCAGTGATGCTTCTATTAACATCCTTATAGCACTGTGTGTGTCAGGTTAATGTACTGTAGCAGCAGCTGACCTCAACACTGTCTCTGCACAAGGACACTTTAACCACTGCACTACTATAACTACGGCAATTTTAAACATAAATATATTTCAGTTTGAAGATATGCCATTGAACATACAACAGGTGACATAAATATCTAATCGACCAGCATTACAACTGCGACAAGGTGAACAGGTGCATAGACAGAGAAATGTAACTTGTGTCATGACATGAGTAATAAACTTATGTAGGTTTTCACAAAAATATTGTGTTGACATTTTTCCTACAAGCTCTCACATTTACATGTTATCAGGACCATAACAACACATTTACCTTTATAGCTGCCAGTGAATGTTCTCATGAAGGGTTCACATTTCATTCACACTTCCACTAATCTGACTGTTACATCCAGGTTTCAGTGAGTCCTCCCACCACAGATGTTTAGTTAAGTTAGAGTCATGAGACACCACAGAGCTCAACAGGAAATGATCGCCTCCCCTGCACTTTTCACCACCCACACTGTCCTTGGCATGTTTCCCATATGAGCCAGTACACTGCTTTTCTGTTGAATTTCCTGAGTTTCACTGACGGGCACCATCTAGTGGCGGGGAGATGCCATCGGGACAGCCAAATATTTTACTACTATTATACTGTACTACTACTACTACTACTACTACTAAAATTAAAAAGCTTTAAGAACCCATTAGCTGGATCTCAAACTTTGTGAAAGCAAAATAATATGCCATAGTATAGAGTAGAAGCATTTGCACAGTCAACCTGCGCCATGCAAAGGTCAAAAATATGATTTTAACATATAAAATCACAAGTTAAAAACACGGGAAATACTAATACAGATACTTAATAGGTAAGTTGAAATTCTAGGAAAGTGGAAACTGTTAACTTTATGGCAAATAAAATATAAAATGACTATCAGGGTCTTGTATGGCAAGCTGTTTTAGCATTTATTTCTTAAAACTTTCTAGTCGCTATTTAAAAGCTACTAGTACTTATACTCTGCAGTTCAGATAACTATTCATTAGTTACTAGTAAAACTATAATTGAATAGTTACTACCACCATTTCCATTTTACTAGTAGGCCTATCTATTATTTATCTACTGGTGCTTATTTTTTTTAGTTACTAGTAACTATTCAATTACTTATTAGAAAGAATTAAAATGTTACTATCAACAAGCCATTTCACTATTCATTAATGAATGAGTAGTAACCCAAAACAAATTACTAGTAAGAATGAAAATGGTACTAGTGTCTTTTGGAACAGTTACTAATGACTAATGAATGAATAACTGATGAACTAGTAAATGGAAACAGTTTCTAGTAACTATTCAATTAGTTACTAGTAACTAATAAAAATGTGATATCTGAATTGCAGAGCCCTATTGATTTCAATGGTAAAGTAACTAAAAAATAGTTACTAGTAACAAATACTGAAGTACTAATATCAAATCAATTGTTACTAGTTAAACAGGAATAGTTTGGATGGAATGGCTACTAGTGACAAAACCTTACGTACTAGTATTGTCACTTGTTACTAGTAAAACAGGAATAGTTTCTTGCAGCCTAACTAATGGAATATTTTCTAGTGACAAAAACTTAAGTCCTAGTATCCAATCAATTGTTACTATTAAAACAGAAATAGTTACTAGTATCTAATGGAATAGTCACCAGTAGTGACTAATCAATAAGTACTAGTAGCCTTTAATAAAAGTTTTTTAGGAATAAATGTTAAAACAGCCATAGACTTGCATAGAATCTGCCTGAAGTGTGGTAGGCGGGTCCTTTACTCCTCCTCCGCACCGATTGGCTGTCTGGTCCCGACAGCCCGGATATGATGTAGCAACTGTTCACACTTCTCGGAAGTTGCAGCAGGGTAACAGAGTAACACGTCTCCAGCGTCAGTCACACTTTAAATATATTAAACTTGCGATACTTTGCTGTTTTTCACAGAAATGGCTTATCCAGGGTACGGCGGGGTGAGTAAATTATATGTAACCGTGCTTTTACTGTCACTAACGAGCTACATTGGTTAGCAGAAAAGCTAACCTGGGGCGCTTGTTTCAGAGAATTTCCCGATAATTTAACACAAGTTGGTTTGCTAATTACAGGGTTTCGTGTGTTCCTGTAGCAATGCAGACATCCAGATATAGTTTAAGTTTAATAGGTGACTTTATTTTTACAGTTTCATTTGAAAGTTAGAAGCTAAATTGGCATCATTAGCTCAGAAAAATGTCTTCCGGGATGTAAGTTCCTGAACTCTCAGGAGTAACGGTAAACGTCGGTTACTCAACTAAAATAGCAACTGCCTGTAGTCTAGCTGTGCAGGTTTGGGTGGTGCCTTCTTTAAAGCCCATACACTATATCTCAAACTGTAATTCTATTAGTTTGATATAATGCATAATACTCTCATTGTATAATGTTATGTGAAGTTGGATGAATGCACTGATCCTGGACAAATGTTAAACTTTGTCTAACGAAGTTGAACTTTTAGCAAGTCTGAAAGTGTGACCTTTAAACGTGGACTGTAGTAACTCTTTGGTGTTGTAAAATAAGGACTACAACCCACAATGCTCGCCCTCTGGCACTGAATCGGCCAATAGCAGGCCTTCAAAGGGGGCAGGTCTGCATTCTTTCAGCTTCCTACACACCTGAGGCCTGTTCTGTGAATTAGGGCTGGGCTGACAGGCCAAAAATGTTACCACGACAAAACATTTCACATCACTTGGTACAGATAATTATCACGATAAATGTCAAATCTTTATTTCCATCTAGTTTAGAGGCAGATTTTTTTGAAACCAGATGACTATTTTAATGGTCAGAACAAACACTTGATGCCAAACAGTGGATCACTCCACAAATCTGAGGTAGAAAATTAGAACAGTTCTAATGATAAAATCTATATTCAAAAAATATGCATGAGTAAAATTAGGTAAAACCTTTCACTTTCACAACCTTTCTTTCACTTCCTTTTTCTTAACCATAGAAATATCTAAACAGAATAACTGCTGATTTCTGTGTGATTCTAATGAATTATGTCAAACATTTATTATATTTTTATTGAGGAATATTATATTGTAGTAATTCATTTTATCGCCCAGCCCTTCTGTGAAGCAAGTTCAACATACCCAGGATATCTTTTTGTTATGTGGCTGGTCACACAACACTGACTATCAACTCTGTATGTCAACCCAGGGTTTCCCAATCCAGCCATGATCACATAAAAGGGCCATTGTTTGCAGCAAACATGAACAAGTCTACTTAGCAGAAGTGCCATATTTTACAAAGAGCAAACTGTAATATTAGACAAATATGAAGAACTTAAACTCATAATCCAGACTAAAAGCTACACAGATGCAACTTCCACATGCAGGAAGACAGAAAATCATGACTGTGTAAGGTAACAGGCTTTCATAATATCACTGCCCCATCATTAGGGCCTGAGTAGCTCTGAGTAGTAATGTGTTGCTTAGATGTGTTATGGCGTGCATTACAATTTTAGCCTTATCATTTGTGCTGTAGCGGCTGTGTGTCAGCTTTTTGACATTAAATAAGTGGTCGTTCCAAAACACTTTCAAGAACCTCTCGTCACTTAATAAAGTCAAATTTATTTATTTATGTGCTCAAAAATGTTCCAAAAATTGTTGTAAAGGAACTTCATAAAGCTACGTAAAGGAAAATCCATTGATTTCATACCATATATAATGCTCATATAGTGATGGGAAGATTGAATCTGAATCACGGCATCAGTTCCAACATTTACTGAAACCCCTCCCCCATATTACCTGCGCCCACACAGCAAAAGGTGGGGCACTACATGACCAGGCTCTGTATTAATATGAGAACCAACAGCAACCTCAAGTATAATAGACAAATTCATATTAAACTCAACTTGAATACCAAAATGAATGCTCATAATATTTAGCCAAACATAAAAATGCTATGACAGGATGTGTGAAACTGGGAGCAAATAAAAAATAAATATAAAAACATTTCAAAGCAGTGAGCGGTCTTACTTTCCTATCTTAAAATTACACCAGGTTTAATGCTTCAGTCAGTCTCTGCTGTCGGATGATATCTGGATACAAAAGCATCTCTTCATCACCCACAACAAAAACATACAACCTGCGAATACTGATGTCATTTTCCAGGAGGACTGACTGGTCAGTGGGCGGTGCCTTTTATTGCGTTGATCTCTTATCTCAAACATAACCTTCTCCGGAGCAGGTTAGCCGTTAAGCGTAACTTAGCATGGCGATGTAGCCAGGTAAGAAGTCGTAGGACTGAACACCCAGGGTTAACCCTGAAGTTACCTCGATAACCACACATCTCGCTTCGTAGGAGAGGCCCCTGGTTGTAAATGCTTCATGCTTCAGATTATTGAAAAGTGCAAGAAGAGAGCTTTTATAAGAGATTTCCTAAATAATTGACAATATTCAGTTAAGGAACACAGATCACGTGTCTGTGGTGGTGCTATAAAATGGTTACGTTTCAATCAGATGCATATTTAATTTTTGTTGTTCAGAACAACAAAAATGAAAAATGTTCTTAAAAAAATGTTTAGAATGAGTTTGGTTTGTGGGGTTTATATTGTCTTTCAAACTCACCAGAATTCTTGTATTTCACAGCTCAGCAAATACGTCACGTTTGTTATTACTGATGTGGTTAATCTGAACATTAGGAAGAAAGGATGTGCATTGTGCTTGTATTCATGCAGAATCCTTTTTCATGGTGTATCGTTAACGAATGAGCAGATTTATATATTTATCTGTTCTGATCTGTTCTCCGTCTCAGTATGGGGGTCCGATGCCAGGCATGCAGGCTCAGGGGATGCCTCCCCAAGGAATGCCAGGAGGACACATGGGAGGCCCCATGGGAGGCCCCATGGGTGGGCACATGGGTGGACAAATGGGAGGTGCACCTCCCCAGGGAGGATATGCCCCCTATGGAGGAGGCTATGCAGGCACGTATGCAGCCCCAGCCCCAGCACCAGCTGCCAACGATCCAATGTGGGGTTACTTTACAGCCATAGCAGGCCAGGTAGGCATGGTTTAACTACTCTAGAAGAGCACATGTTACAGGTATCCTTTATAAAAGCCACATTTTTCACTGCAGGCCTGCTTTCATTTTCACATTTCAAGTGTGGACAAGACCCAGACATTCTCTCTTTTCAGGTTTTTTTAAATGGTTCAGGAAACTCACAGTTGAGAAATCTTCAGCTCTGTCTTAACTTGATTTCTCTGGTACTACCCACTACCAGTGCAAATTACTAATTTTACAGTGAAAGGTGTGAAGTAGTCTTTGGTAGTATAAAACATTGGATTAATTTTGTTATTTGTGTTTTTTTTTTTTAGTTGCCTGCAAAACTTTGGGGGATTTAAAATGCCTACAGAAATACAAAGTGAAATATGATGCACATTGTTATAATTATTTTCTTCTTTATACATTTACTGGGTCATAATTAAATGTACACATTAATATTATGTTATTTAGCGCTGATAACAAAAAAAACTGAATCCTCTCCAACCAACTATTCAAGTGTCTATCATGGCAGCTGCTGACAGCACTAATAAACCCATGGTCCTGCCCCTAGGCTGAGATTGAACAGTTGTATTGTTTACTGTTTTGTCGTGTTTAGGGGAAAAAAAAACAACAACCGTAAACTCGTCATTACATTTAATGACAGTAGCAGTATCGGCAGGTCTATGCTGCTGTCTGCTGGGCTACACTTAAATACAGTACACGTCATTACTTTGTTTTCTGTGTTGTGATTAGATTTTCATGTCATAATGAACAAGAATTGATTCCGTAATTGAAGACAGAAAGCTAAAACTCTGTCCTTTTACTGTAATTGAAGACAGTAAATTCCAACATAAAAAAGGAAATGCAATAACAGTGTGTATTGTAGTTGCATTTTAAATCTCCCTTACAGAATGCTTCCACACTTATTCGCATATTATTTAAGACCACTTAAGTTACTTGAAATGCACATTTTCTTTTCCTTTGATTTCCCCGTTGTCACTTGGCGTGGTGTATACAGTACTGGTGGTAGCATACAGAGGGTGATTATGCAGTCTCCTCAGAATGATGTTAATTCACACATGACTGAATATCACTTCCCTGCTCTGCACAGGACGGTGAGATTGATGCAGAGGAGCTCCAGAGGTGCCTGACCCAGTCTGGTTTTAGTGGCAGCTACACTCGTAAGTTCACTACCCTGCCTTCCACAAAAGAGGATGACTGACTCCTGAATTATAGCACTCCCATGAGTTAATTTACAGTGCACAGTTAGGTTAAATTCATTCAAGGGTTGTATTCTTGCAGGACAGGTATTTGAGCTTCATGCATTTAACAAAAACCAGCTGCTGCTGTGACTCGCCAATCTTACCACTAGGAGTGTGATTTACACCATTTGCTAAGGTTGACATGTTTTAATGTACATTTAATGAGTTGTTAAACCAACTGGGGTGTGAAGGGAGTGTTTTTGGGTTGATGAAGCATTGCAACAACTGCTTCTTTTTTTTTTTTTGTTCTCAGTGTCACAGTAGAGGGAGTTGTGCACACCATGTCTGTGGGTTCTCAAATTGTTTGCGTTTGCTGGCGAGCTGACTGAATCCATAACTCACCTGCAATCAAAATCTGCTTTTATAAGTTTTAATATTGTAGTATTTGATTATGAGCAGGTGTTAGAGACTTATAAGTAACAAGGACTTCCTCCAGCTTCTCTCAGCAGCAAATAATACCTTTTGTGAATTACTCTTAAAGGTGGCGTAAGCGATTCTAATCCAGTTCATGCCTTTTTGTTTTTTTTTGGTTGTCAAATTCAGCCAATATCTCCTCACTCCTAGCTGTAAGTTCTTTGTGTGCGGATGTCGCACACCCCACCTTTAAGCCTGAAAACATGTCAGCCCTGAGGTTTGGGTTTCTACTGACTATCTCAGCCTGTCAGGAGAAAACTTATATCCTCAGGGTATTTTGTGAACATACTCCAAGAAATGAAAGCAGATTGCACAGCTACTGCCCTTTGTTTACATTTGGCCACAGATTGTACCTTTTGAATTATGAAATGAATTAGAAGTATGCGCCGATTGTGGTAGTTTTTTTTTTTTTTTTTAATCTAGTCTTAAGAATTAGTCAAGTCTAGGTGTTAAAAGAACATACATTTTTATACTTAACATGTTTTTTATTATTTTCACAGCATTCAGCATAGACACGTGCAGGATCATGATTGCAATGCTCGATGTATCCTTTCTATACCACCAGGGTTAAGGGGGGGGGGGGGACATCTGTGTCAGTCAGAGGTGGGACTGGCTGATATGAATATGAAATGTGTGAGCAGTACGTAGGGTTCAACCTTGGACCAGTTTAACCAGCTGCTTTCTTCATTACCATCACACCTGGCAGTCATTATCCATGTGGCACAGCAGTTATTAAAGCTTAACCAGACTTTCCCCAGAGGGACTTTACAGGCAAGATGGGCTTCAATGAGTTCAAGGACCTGTTCACGGCTCTGAACGGCTGGAAGCAGAACTTCATGATGTTTGACCAGGACAGGAGTGGAACTGTTGAACCTCATGAGATGACTCAGGCAATCAACGCTATGGGTGAGAGTCTTTACGGTTTAACATGGATATTTAATGCGGGAACTAGAGCCAACCGATATGAGCTAATTGCATTTGTCACGTTAATTACATGACTTACTTAAGCTATAATAAAACCGCCCCATCACCTCTCCTCTCCTGAAAACATTCACGACTTCACTGCCCTCTCCCGGGTCACAGCACTAACATGTTTAATGTTACAGTAGTTGAGTTGATTACAGTCTCAACAATTGCCACACTGTTTCAGAAATAAATCTGCAATCTATTTCATTAATATAATCCACTTAAGAAATGGTATTATAGCCCACATACAGAACAGCTTTCAATATTGTCCTGTTCTAAGTGTAGTTTATAAAGGAAAGGGATCTACTATCCAAAAAATTTTCAATATTTGCTCATAAATCGTGTCTTTTTCAATTTAATGTCGGTCTGGCTCTAGCAGGAACACATCTAATGGTAAACAGAATGTTTGACACTTAATTAGACTTCAGAAGTCAGTTAATCTGTGCTGATTGGTGTGATCAGTCCATGACGTATTATCACAGTAGAGCAAAGAGGGAGCACACTGTCCCTCTCTGTGTTGTTCATATTATCTACAGTTCCAACAGAGGGAACCATTACACTAGTGTTTCCAACTCATTACTAAATGTGCTCTATGTTTTGATATTTTGAAAATCCACCTTTATTCTGTCCTCAAAATGTACAGCCAGGTTATAAGCAGGAGGAATTTTCTTTCTTTTCTAGAATAAAATGCTGTTTTGTGTCGCAAAGTAAAAGTTATGACATCACAGCATTGATTTTAAAAATCACCTTGTAAGTTTATATGGTGAAGTTGTTAGCAAAAAGTTGCATATTATACATCAAGTTACAGAGCAACATGATCATTCAATTGGAGTTGTTTTTTATTGGCCACTCAGTGAAGGTCACTCCAATATTCTCTGTTTTAGCTTCTGTTTGTGGTCTTAACCAACTCCTGAGGGAAATATCTGGTTCTTTAGCTGCTAAATGTTCCACTGTGTTCACCAGCTAGTCTCTAACTGTGGCTGTCTGCTGCTGAGCAGCTTGTGCACAATGGGTTTTCAGAGCATTTTTTTGCTGAAAATAGCTGCCTGCTGTGGCCACAAACGACGCTATGACAGACGTGAGAGTGAAACAAAACAGTAAAGTTGCAGCCGCACATCTAAACAGCTCTGTAAAGCTGAATGGAGCTGCAGATCCAGGTGATGATTCTCTGTAGGTTCATCATTGTTTTCAGATTTGATACATGTTAGTGCAAAATGTTTGTATTTTTAAAGATAGCGTTACCATCTGCAGTTTTAAGGAAATACACCCAGAGTGATTGTAGGAATAATCAAGGATGGATTTATTAATGGTGAAATTGTTGGATCAAATCCTCACTGTTGCAAAGTGGCAGTTTGATTATTTATATTTTTGCCAGACTGTTATTTTTTAGTAAACTCATCATTGTGAAATAACATCGGTCTAAACATTGTCAGTAGAGTTAAAGTTTTATACCTAGCCCTACTGCTTTTTATTTATTTATTTTTACTTCACTCTTTTGCAGGCTGCATAGAGTAGTAGAAAGAGGGAAATGATACGAGGTGTTACCAGCTGATTGGGCTGATATGTCAGACATGTAGCAAATGCAAATACAGGGAGGCTCTACAGTCATGTTGAGGTGTACCTTTGACATACAGTTTGACAGGACACACTGTCTCTATCTAACCACGTTTGACATTCCTCCCATCACTTTATCAGGCTACCGTGTCAGTTCTCAGACTCTGAATGCAATCATCAAGCGCTACAACAAAGGGGGAAAGATCTTCTTTGATGACTACGTGGCCTGCTGTGTCAAACTGCGAGCTCTCACAGGTATGAAACACAAACACAGGATGTGTGTTGGATAGAAATGACCTGACATGTTCTGTGAACAGCTGCTCATGCGCAAATGCCTGCTTTAAATGTGGACTGCGAAATTGCGTTTGGTTTCATTCCACCTGTGATGCCTGTTGAAATCTGTGAAGTGCTGTGACCTTCTGCTTGGCTCGCTGCACAAAGCTGTGTCACAAGGTGTTGTGAAATAGGCTTTATTGAAATCGTGACTCTTCTGTGCGGTGAGCGTTTACTCTTCTGTTACAGAGAACTTCAGACAGAGAGATACCATGCACCAGGGATCTGTCAACTTCCAGTATGATGATGTAAGTCCATCTCCCACACAGTCCCATTTTCCTTTTTGTAAATCTCACTTCATTCGATAATAAGTTTATGACTGGTACTTCAAAACATTTTAGCCTAGGGCTGGGCAATATAACAATGATAATTATCGCAAGAATCTTCTTCAATAGCAATATTACAAATAAAAAAAAATTGTTTGATTTTAATTTATTTGAATCAAACGTATTAGCACTTAGCAATGGGATTTATTTTACTCATGCATATTGGTTGAAAAAAGATTTCATGATAATTGTTTTGAATGTTCTGCCTCAGATTTGTGAAGTGATCCAGTGTTTAGAATTAAGTGTTTGTTCTGACCATAAAGTTAAATAGTTTAAAACCACAATCAACCATCTGCTTTCTTCACTCAGGAGCAAAAATCAGCCTTTAAACTTGAAAGAAATAACAGATTGACACTTATCGTGATAATACCCAATATCGAATATATAATTTTGTTTTTAGCATGATAATAAACTTGGCTGTATCACCTAGCCTTCTGTGAGCCTATATCAAAGTGGACTGCGGAAAATGATTGGGCTGGGGAGGGAAGTGAACTGTAGGTTTCACTTTTTAAGGAAGCAAGAGCGCCCTCAGCTTTATTATTTGGACCCTTCACTTGAATTTTAACCTTTGCCATTTAATAGAACATTCATGCTGAACCTCTTACTTTCTTCTATGAGGTTTGCCTTGACGAGTGTTCCCAGTCAGACTCACCAGGATGAGGCAAATTAAATTTGACCATTAACATAAAATGCCTCCAAATTGTCATAAGTTTGTGTTTAGCTCTGTTTGTGGTAGGGATGGACGATATGGCCAAAAATGTTATCACGATAAGTATCATTATTTATTTTGAGTTTAAAGGATGATTTTTGCTTGAGTGAAAGTTGAAGAAACCTGATGGTTAATTGTGGTTCAAACTCTTCTTCATGTTGAGCACTTGATTCCAAACAGTTCAGATAAAATCTTTGTCAACAAATATTCAGGAGTAAAATTAAGTAAAAGCTTTTTTCAGTACTTTTCCCTCAACAAAATAAGCATCTTGATTAAAAAAAATTAAGTTCTAATGTGTGTATGATTCAAGTGAATAAAATCATACATTTATTGAATATTTAACATTTGTTATTATTGAAAAAACAATGATAGTGATGAGAAATTATTTTCCAGCCCTAGTTTGTGGGTAAGTTTCATTCACAAAAAAGTTACCAAAGAGTGAGAAGAAGAACAGACAAATGAAAACCTACCTAATTTAGTAGTGTTCTTGTATTAGATGACCTGGAACAGTTAGAAATAGTATTACAGCTGCAGATGCTGTGTCATCAGAGCTGTTTTGCCCCATTTGTCTCATTTTTAATGGGATCAGGTGAGAAACAGTGAGTTTTTGTTATGACCTACCGTCTCAGCATGTCAAACATGAGCATGCTGTGTTGTTCAGTGCAGACGTTTCATGACATTTGTCACTACGCCTGCATGTGAAACAGCTCAGTGCAGTCTTAAAAGGCGTTTCCAGATGAGGTCCTGCGGTTGATTTCCAAAGCGACTCTCTGTGGTTGACACTCTTTCCATTCAACTCAACAGTTTATCCTGTGCACAATGGCCATTTAAGTGGTACAGTGTGTCCCACACAACGAGATCACAGCATCTAATGAACCAATCAGCGGTGGATCCTGGACCACTGCCTCACAGGAATGCAAAGGGAGGCCAGTATATTAGTGAGCTGCCATGAGCCGCAACAGGAAAAGTACCCATTGCTTGTAATGCTTTAGTCTTGTCACACAGGGAGGGGCTGGAGATGTATCAGGTGTACATCTCCAGCCATATATAATATATATATATATACACACAGTATGTATCCAAATTAGAGGGGAATAATATAGTATAGCACACTAGTGTCTGAATTAGAAAAATACTGTAAACGCTTACAGATAAATGTACACAGGGTCAGGCATGACTTTACCAGAGATCTCACTAGTTTGAATATTGTGCTTTGGGTCTCATTTTGGAATGAAACTCTGCCAGTGATTGTACCGACCTGTGAGACACCTATTGTGCCATTATAATCTCTGAATGTATTGTCCAATATTTTAAAAGCATTTATATAACTATGGCAGCGTCAGCTGTATTTACAGATAACATGTTGATTTGCTTTTACTCTGAATTTCAGTTATGAATTTTGTTCTTGCCAGTACTTTTCTCGTGTACATTATTTCGTGAACAACATTTTAGGTTCAGGAAGTAATGTGCACTTCTATTTTATAAGTTATATTGAGCCCCACCTGTAGAAGATTAGATGCATATATATAGCTTGATGTTTAACTTGATAACAAGCCAAAGTGACTGTGAGCTGACTATAAATCCACACTGTTACCTGATACTAATGTTATACTGCAGCTGTAAACATTTGTTGTCCATGTTTCAGTTCAAACACAGCCAGGTTCAAGTCAACCTCTGAACATGCACACATGTTGTAAGGATCATATTTTGTTATCCACAATAAACACTTTTTAAATCAGTGTGCATTCTGTTTAATCATTTATACAGTTGCGCATTTCTTCCTCAGTCTATTTACACAATATATTTCTTTAAATATAGTTAAGAACGGAAACATTCAAATTAGCTGTTAAGTGTTGCATTGTATAAAATACAGTGGCAAACATTTAAAAAAATGCATAAAAACAATTGTGAACAGCACTAGATTTAAAAAGTGACATTTATATCCAGTACAGCAAGTTTTCTAATCTCTGTGCAAAAGTTTGCAAATCCCATGAAAGTCCAGTGGACGACTCTCCAGGCGTTAGACATGTCGAGTTCGGCTTCAGCAACTTTTGTTCTACATCTGTGCTCGAGAAAGAAAGCTTATCAAAGAAAACACCCCGCCTCCATCTCAATCCCACATTCAACTTCTATTTCCCCCAATTATCTCTGTCTCAGCTCTTCTGGAAGTGTAGGAAACAAATGAGCTTTTTCATCATGACATCTGATATGATTTCATCATTTCTCTCATCTTGCAAACCCTTTCATCAGTTCTACATGTTATGTTATCACCAGGGGTTTGGAGTGAGGAGGTTTCCACTGGATGAGTCAAGGGACACAATGAAGCCCGGGCTTAAGATGACAGTAAAGTGTTGGCTGCTTCAATGTGCTGAAGAAGTTCAGAGGGAAACGTCAAAGTAGAAACTCAGCGGAATGACATTAAAATCAATGTGCAATATTAAATCAAGACAAACTAACAGCATTGAGTAAATGCAGCACACAGCTTAAAGTGATGCCTGTCACTGGAGTCTTGCTTGCTACATTGAGAGGCTATGCATTGCATTCTTCATCCCATCAGCGGTCCACACTATTCTAACATCAGGGCTTTTTAAAAACCAATAAGGTACATATAAAAATAATGGCAAATTAAACACTTTGTTTTAGAAAAATAGGTCTAACCGCTATTTCTAAGTCTCTCTGGATGAGCTATGTGCCGTACCTTAGTATGAATACATGTCACACACATTTGATTGAGACCTTTTATAATTTAGTCAAGTGCAGTCTCCATGCAATACATGAGCTCATGTTGGAATTTGTGTACTTTGAAAACTAAAATGACTAATTCATTTGTCATGCAGTTCGCTCTAAAATGGTTCGGTACATTTACATCTGTGATGGTGGAGAATTGGATTGATGTCGTTTGTAAAGGCTAGAGCAGGCATATAAAGCTAAGGCTATTGAAGGCTTGAGCTGTGTTTCTGGCCCAAAATGTGAAAAAAACATCTTAAAGAAAAACTTTTTTCTTAATCAGATGATGCTTCATTTGTGAAGATATTTTCTATTTACGAAATTGTACTTTTTAAGTTGATCATGGAAGACCTAAAAGCATGCAACCAAAAACTACCGTCTGGGATAGCCGGAGTTCGCTCCAGCTGTTAAGAAGATTCAGGATGTTTCTTCCTAGCCTGCAGTCTTAAGTTTACATACACTTGTATGGGACACTACGTCGAGGCAGTTTAAATCATTTCTTCTTTTTCTGTGACAGAATGATTGAGAAATGTACTTGTAACGTTTTGTAGGTTGTCTGGTGGGTCAAATATATAAAACACAGCAACTTACGTTAAGTTCTAAAATGTCATAGCAAAAAGGTGAAAGGTAGTTTTGGGATGGCTATATCAAGCTAAAAAGCAGCTCATCAACCACACTGAAATTATAATTTGTTGACTGTCCTGAAAAATGCAAGAGAACAAATTACATGTAGGTTAAACTCTAACCCAACTAAACAAAGTACATTTCCCAATCTAAAACTGCCTGGACATAACATCCTGTACAAGTTTTGCCTGCGACTGCAAATACCCCACACCATGCTTAATACAATATCGATATGATATATGGTAATTATGTTTTCACATCTACTAAATCCACAACTTTAGGCATTCATTTTGTTGTCTTGAACATCTACAGTTAACCACTGAAACGTTCTGCATGTGAAGGTGTAAGGCGTGTCAGGATACAGATCTTAACATAGCAAATTAATTCAGAACATAAATATTGTTGAAATATGCTGTCTTTGTTCAGGTTGTATAAAATGATCTCCAGAGTGTATTAAACTATACTAGGAGTCTCTTCACCATTATTGCTCTCAAAGACAAAAGTCTTGTTGTGCTATGGGATGTCCACGCAGGCTTTACACACATTATTACACTGTGTTCTGAGCTGAATAAGAAGGGATTTTCATTTGTTGTGGCAATGTTGTGTACAGTAGGCACGCTAAATATACAGACGGATCTCAATGTGAGTTTGTCACTGCGTCGACCGTTCGGAGCTGCTGATAAAAAGATGAACTTCAAAGCTGCGGAGTGGAATATAGAAATGCCTAGGAAAGAGTTTCAAGTAGCTTTGTCCCCTGTGAAGAGGGAAGAGTCATAGAAAATGAGACTTGATAGCTACAGTAGTCTGTAAGCATGCCAAGGTCACACCTGATTGCCCGGTGAGTCGGTGTGTGTCTGTGTGTGTGTCTAACATGCAACAGAAAAGAAAAGACGACATGAGAAACAAAAACATGCATATCTCTTAGAAAAAGCACATTAGGTGCCTCGTGTTGCTGGCAGTGTTCTATTTGAAGTATGTACACGGTAGTTGATGACTTTACATTATGTTATTAATATAGTGTATAAATACCTCTGTATAAATAGACTTTATACATCTAAATCAGAGTTGGTGGGACGGGGGATGGGAGGTTTTCTGAAAAGAAATGGAAGAAAGTCTACAGTTTGTTTTCCTTTGCATATTCAGTCTCTTTCTTAGACCCTGAGTCAAGCTTGAAAAAAGACCTTCAGCCAAAGTCAAAGCGTGTGTGGAGGCCTACTTTTCTGGAAGCCCCGGGTCAGAAACTGGCCTGTGGAGTCCCAACATTCCTGAGCTGCTGGGGACATCAGGTAGGGAGGCTTGTCGGCCTGATGGGAACCTCGGTGGCTCTTGTTGCTCTAGAGAGTCCATGTTGTTTTGTGTGTGCGTCTGCGCTGTTTCTGTGTCGCTCTCCAGCAGTTCAGCAAAGTTCCCATCTGGAAGAGTCTCTGTGTGGAGGAGGACTGGGGAGGATTCTTTGGATTTGTTCTGGGCCTTTTCTGGGCCAGGGCTCTGAGGGAGACAGAAAACAGTGGGCTTAACAAGCCATTTGGCAGAGACACTAAAGACACATATCGAAGGAAGTAGATGACACATAACCAAATGTCTGTTTAAACAAAGTCAGCTGACCGAGAACACATTACCGGAGACTCTTGACACAGTCTGTGCATGACAGAAACAGAGTCTTAATGTGCAAAACTATTCATGGAAAGAGCCAAAATGACTTGCTACATTCTTACTTTTAAACACAAAATGCATACAAAGTGCAGAGCACATGCTCAGACTGCACACACCTCATTAGTTTTAATACGCATTACTAAGATGGTAAGGCCAGCCCCTTGAATTGTAGCTGCCACTGGCGTGAGTGAGTGAGGCAGAAAATTGTAAGTGCAGCCATTTACCAGTGATGTGCTGGGAAGAAGAAAATTATCTAAGGTTTTTAAGGTTTGAGTGAACAACAGAGCAGAAGCAGTAAACACTGTCATCATTGTATCTTGTAGGAATGGAGGATTGACTATATGACTCAAGACTACATTATCTATACTTACACCCATACAGAATATTCATTAAATAAAATGCAGGTTTCTCTGCATCATTTCAAATACTGACCTCTGCATAGACTAATACTATTTATTTCTCATTGCTATTTGTAGTATTGGCATTACAGAAACGAACACTCCATACTCTGTTTTGATGATAAATTCTTACTGTTTGACCATTTATTTTAAATAGCAATCATCAAATTCAGCAATAAAAATATTACGGCTGCAATTAATGATTATTTACACTGGTGATTAATACATGGATACATTTTATTTATTTTTTCTATTAAATCACAATTTCACGGAGCGCAATTTAACATATTCAATTGTCTAACCAATGGTTCAAAACCCCATGTATTTAAGAAAAAGTATAAATATTCACATTGGAGAAGTTGGAACCATCTCATTTTTGCTCAAGAAATCACTTAAATACTCTCCATGACCACATGACCTACGGCACTAACATCACAGGTCATGAAGACATTTGAGGGGCTGGCTCTGCAGCACTCGAGGCCTCTGGTTACTGACTTGCCTGGACCTGCTGCAGTTTGCAAACAAAGCACACATGAGTGGAGGATACCATGACCTTCCTCGTGTTCTGACTTCCCCAGTGCTTTCAACACCATCCAGCCCTGCCTGCTAGGTGAAAAGCTCCTGGCGATGCAACTGCACGCTGACACCAAATCCTGGATAAAGCACTATCTCGCTATAATACTGCGTGGTGTATGACCTAATTTAATACAGATTTGTTTTGCAAATTGAAACTGAACAAAAGCAAAGGTAAATGCTGTAATTGTAGCACACACCAGTTGTTTCCAAATCAGCTCAGACATTTAGAAAGGGCAGTACTTTTCCAGTGTAAAGTCAGCTCTTCCCCTTCGTCGCTTGGTGTTGAAGCAGAGTAAAGTGTCTGGTGTACCTGTGGCCGAGGTGGAGCAGGAGCGAGGCTGAGTTCAGTCTGGATGGCAGACACCGGCTGCACCCTGATGGCTGGCCTCTGGTACTCGGGGCTGGAGGTGACAGTGCTGTAGGCGGGGGGACCAGCCGTGGTTTGTCTCTGGAGGAGCTGCAGGATGGCCTGGATGTCTGCCGTCATCTGGGACTCCAGTCTGATGGAAAGAAAGAATAAAACATGGAATTACATGGAAAAAATAAGTTGTCCAACGCATCGGTACCAAATTAGTGGTTAAGGACAAATTAAGCAGTTTTGTGGTTTCGCTTCTTCAAAATTAAAATGAGTCTTGAGCATTTTTTGTTTAGATGCTCAGTTTTCCTAATCAATACTGATTTACATACTGATGATAACAAACAGCTGATGAGCAGCTGCACAATATTACATCAATTAGATATTTAAAAGGAGCAGTGAGCCGGCATCACACAGATTAAACCTGGATGGCAGGAAAAACTGCTTGAACAGTTATGACGACAATTGCCTAATGATCAGCTCGGTCCGAGCCACACAGAACGGACAGCTGGCGAGATGAAATATTCACTGAATTTGACAAAAACACGTGTACTGGATTAGCTTTCTCAAGAATCGCATACCCCACCTTTAAATGTGAATGTCACCAGGTTGTTCTGCAATTGCCACCGTTTTGCCACGCTGATTTTATAATGTGCGTTTGTACTCAATTTGTTTAGTTTCTGCAGTGACGTAATATCACCACAGGGATCTATAATTTCCTCTCATCTTCCCCATTGGGTGGCTGTCAGCCCTATAATTTATATGATAGATAACATCTTGTGCCCCACTTTTCTCAGGAACAAAAACAGTAGTCAAACAGAACGTAAGGACACAGGATCAATTTGATACATCAGGTCTGAAAATGTATTTAATCCGTTAAAAACATTGTATACCATGTTTCTCCTCTTTAGTGTCACAAAGGGTTATTAAAAAAGGACGGTGGATGCATGGTCAATACTAATACGAAACACTAGGGGGAGGCTCAAACCTTACAACTGCAGATGGTTTACATTGAGTATTACAGCAGCCCTATGCTTCTGAAATGCAAATCTTAAATTCCATTAAAATTTCTGTATTTCATGCAAAATCTAGTACAGACGCTTGTCAAGCAAAATGTAGTTAAAGTTATTAAAATTACAAGTACTAATTCTGCAGAAAAATGGCCTCAGTGACCGATATCAAATGTCTTTGCCGATATACAGCATACACATATATACTGTATATGGTCATTGTTAATACTGATCTATTAGGATTTAAGCAGCATTGTAGCTGGTTGGAGTGAAGCTACTTTACTAACAGTACATAAAGTAGTTCATTTAATCTGTAGTGGAGTAGAAGTATAACAGAAAAATCGTACTTTAAGCTAGAGTAGGTAATGTATTTCGGAACCATGTATTTGTATTATCTGTTGAAATTGTCTTTACATCCCGACAGCAATCAATAAATCAAATGCTCTTGAGAAAAATCTGTGGCTGTCGCAGGTTAAAAGCTGGTCTACTTGCCCGTCTACCTACCTGCGTGCAGTTTGCTAGTGCACTCACTGCGCATAAAAATGTATTCTGTGGGAGTGGCGTTGGAGGGAGGACTGAAGGGAGGATTTAGGATTTTGACTCTAGCTGTCTCTTGCTAGTTTCTCCAACGTAACCTACTCCAGCTTTAAATACAGTACTTGATCAAATGTACTGTGTGTGATGATTGTTGGAGCATGCAAAGAAATTTCAGTAAGAACAGATAGAGTAATAAAGTATCTTGTATATATGATAAGGCTTTAATATTTGTTGGAAAGCAGGTACCAAAATACAGCTCAACCTGCACTGTGTGTCATTACCTAATACTGCAAGTTACATCATGTCATGGAGTGTCTGAGAGGGTTAATAGCCTCTTCTCTCTATACACTACTTTTTTCAGTCCATCGGCAAAAAAAGTCAGAAAGAGCAAACAGAACGAGCTGAGCAGTGTAGAGGGGAAAACCTCCTTGTCACTTTGCCAGGTGCCTGTTGTTCTTTAGAGGACAATAAGTGGTAATAAACACTTTGGCTCTAGCCTGTTTCTGTAAAATGAGAGTTTGTGGTGCAGCGGCCATGCCTGCCGCCTCAGACAAATTCTCGCTCAATCTAGCACAAATGGATGAATAATGACCAGCTGTGGGGAGACTCACTGGCATGATCCCACATTTCCACTGGGAGGGAAAAGTTAGATCAGTGTGCAGCCTCCTGAAGAAACTTGTCTTGCTAAATAGTTCTTTACCTCGCATCATTAGATCCCAGTGTATTAAGTCGTGAAGGACAACTTTTCCTCCATAACTGCACCAAAACTCTGCAACTTCACCAAGACATCCACCATCTCAACCTCGCAGGATGACGTCAGGAGTCTTCGCAATGTGTCTGCATCTCGTGGCTGCGTGCTATAAATAGACAGCCGCTGACTGTCTGCCTCCCCCCTCATCTGCATCAGAGCACCACCAGCTGAGAATCACGTGAGCTGCTCACACAGTCTGCTCTCTGCATCAACACAGTTGCAGCGGGTGTTTGGCCCAAAATGTCGCCAATTATAGGCAGAACTGCGTGGTGGTTGTATTGCACGCTGGGCTTTGAAAGATGACTTTGTTGAAATGAAGTTAAAGAAAACTAAAAAGCCTCTAATGGGAAACTGAGCCAAACGGGATCCCATAGGTGTCTTCAGTTATCTAAAAGGTCAACAGCTTCATCTCTAATAGACATTTTATGTATCGGACTTCAACCTAAAGTTTGAAAATATGTTTTCATTATCATTCATTTTATCCAGGTTTATTTGATATTGAAAATTTAAACTTGCACTGCACTCCTATGAGACTACCAGACTCGCAACAGTTTAAAAAAAAGAAAAGAAGCTCAAATTGACACATTTTTACTACACATTCTTCTTCCTTATCAAAAACTTGGCGTCTACATTAACGACAACTCGTCTGGCTGCAGTTCTGTCGGAGATTCTGGTGTGTTATGCTAGCAGTGGCTAATGTAGCCTCTTGCCTCGAGCAGAGATGAGCAGAGCTCCGCAGAGGTCTGTGAGCTCACTTCTTTCTGATTTCATACCCATTTTCAAACTTGTAGTCCGACGCTGATTTAACTCAAGGACATTTATCATCAGTCTTCACACAGCTTCCTCTGGAGACAAAGCTTTATACAACTTTCTTTTGTCTTTTTTGTTTTTTTTTAAACATATGCAATAATACTCCAATGCCACATGATTATTATGATATCCTTTAAAACAATATGATAGGGTCTAAGATAAAGCCAGGTATGGATTATATCCTAATATAAAAGGATTGTAAATAGAGCACAGATCACTAGCTTCTCCATCTTAACAGTTACTGTATGTTTCACCTCGGATGCATCAGATGTGTCCCTGGATGTTAATAAGCCAGAGAGCATTTTAAAGTATTTAGTCTAAGTAGCGTGTGATGTTCAGTGTTTCCACTCATGTAGCTGCCACTCTGACCAGAAATCAACAGGTTTAAGTGAATGCACTTTGGTTTTACATGACCAACATGTTATTTCCTCTCCACACCTGTTGAGGTGCTGCTGCAGCAGGTCCAGCCGTTGCTCCACCTCTCCGTAGGTGAGGTCTGTGTCGCTGTCCTCTCCCGCTGGCGTCTCTCGACACTGGGCTGACTCTTCTGCACCCTCGCTGGGACGCTGACGCACCCACTCCTCTGCATGGAGCTCTGGAGGGAGAGACGTGTGCAAACAGACGTGAACACACACACACAGGGTAAATGATCTGTGTTATTAGAACAGCGCCTCGGGGGAAGCATCTTTCGGTGTTGTGCTTTCTCATCATTTAGTTTTACTAAGCTCTGATCAGCTTACCGCCTCCTGAATCCTAACATCTCTCCTACAGAGGGAAGCACACATCTGACCCTGGTTAACAAATCACACCCTCAGTGGGATTTGTGTTCCCCTTCTTTTGGTTTTCTGCAAGTGATGGCTGGAGATTAAATTACATTTCCAGTATGTGGTTATCGCCGGGCTGTTTATGGGAATCAATATCACTCCGCTCTACTGTGGCAGAAATCCTCTTATGGCTGCAACAGCTGAATCATGGGATATTACTATTAAATCAACACACTGACACAATTTTGGCATCTTACTTGGCAGTTAAAATACAGGGAAGTCCTGTAGTAAAGGTTATTGTTATGTTAATGTGTGTGTGTGTGCGCAGGAGCTTGGTCACACTGGAGGATTTTGTCTCGGTTTAAGCCGGCTGTACAGTGGCTTCTTCTGACAGGAGATCACGCGAGGTCGGGCTGCAGACACAAACTGGTGTGTTTGCTCAACATGTAGCAGCAGGCAGACTGTGAAAGTGAGGATTTCTCTCTGAGCTTGCCAGGGATCTCGATCCCAGATGCAGCTCAGTCGAGCCTGCCGCTCCCACTGTCTAAACTGCACTATAATCCACAGGAGTATTTGATAACTTTCTTGTTTTGTCTGGGTGTCACGGCGCTGAATCTAGTCTTCATTGGAGCTGAATAAATAATTAAAACCACAATTGCATTTATCGCTAAGATAAAGATTTAAATGTGACCCAACTCACCAGTCATAGTAATGTCATCAACATGATTTTACCTACCGTTTCCTGTAAATCCTTCATTTGGTCATGACCTACGATCAAGAGGGGTGACCCCGGGCCAGTAGCTGGATATAATCCTCTTATGTTTTATTAGTGAGTGCGTTTTAGGTTTTACCATAATGACACATAATCCTTGTTTAGATTTATAATAGGTGTGACATTCCTCCTTTGGGGCTTAGGGATTTTTTTTTTTGGGTGGGTGGGGGGGGTTCTAAATTAACTTCTGAGCCAATTAATATTCTGGAGTAAAACTTTAGAGGACAAGCAGAAAAATTTACAGGAAATTTCATGTTTAAACAAGTCAGCGATTGGCTTAATACAGATTTAATTGAAAGCCTTCGTCTCCTCAGTGTTATTTTATCTCAGTTTGTTGATGTTTAGGCAAAAATAGAAAAATCTGTTTAGGGTAAACAGCCTTTTGAAGCCGCTTCTTTTTTTCCTTGAACCAAAAATAAATCCCTTGTTACTAAATAAAAGTGAGAATTAAAAACTACTGTAGGAATAAATCAGGTGTCTGGTTCTGTCATCACCTTTATATGTCTGGGTCTGCACATCGTCTCCAGCCTGTGCGTCTGGAGTACTGCTTAGCCCGAGGCCCAGGGTGTGGTCCCTAACCACCGGGTAGCCGAGCACACCAGAACACAAGGGCCTCTGCTCCTCCTCCTCCTCCCTGCCTTCCTCCTCCTCCTCCTCCTCCTCTCCTTCCTCGGCGACCTCTCTCCTCTCCTCAGCTGCTGAGGCGGTGTAGATCTGCCTCCCTTGCTTGGTGTTGCAGTAGGTGGCCACTGGCTCCTTGTTGTGGGAACCTACAGGGAGAAATGGTAATCAGGAAATCTGCTGGGGGAACACAGACTTCTCTGATTAGACTTCCTCACTTCCTCCGGGGATGTCATGGTTGTCTCATTATCTTTGACAACAGGTAGCGAGAGTGTTTTGCTTTGGTGTTGAAGTGAGGACAAACAATTTAGCAGTGCTCCTTTTATGCTTTAATTTACTAGAGATGTTATGTAATTGACACTTACACACACACTAAAAGTGTGTTTACAAGTCAAGCATGATGATAATGTAGAAGAGTAATGCTCCTGTTCACTGAGCAGCTCGTCAGCTCTCCATCTTCACACCTGATGGACTGAGGCAGGATACGCCAGCTGCTGGACTGTGAAATGGTTAGGCACATTCTTTGTCTTCACTTGTGTTATATTGGGAGATGGTGTGGAGATGCTGTATTCAGACAGCCTGTAACCATGGTGACCAATTTGATTTGCCTGAATCGAAGCCAAACTGCTGAGTGCTGCTGTCCCAAGTCTTTAGAAATGTCCCAAGAAATTACAACTGTTTCCACAGTGCGGGTCGCTCTCACTCAAACATGTCATGGCAGGGCAGGTGTTGTTTCCCAATAGTGTTAACTGATGTGAAGAGAGCACACAGGTCCTGAGGGGTGTTTTATAAAAAGGAGGCAAAGAAATAGACGGTTTATTGTAGGGATGGGTATCGCTACTCGGTAACTTTATGGTACTGACCGAAACAGCCCGGTATCGAGTAGAATCCAAATGTCTCCAGTCAAAGCAGTACTTCTAGACACCTAGGCCTACTTTTTGTAACCAAATCGCACAAAAAATGTCTATTTGTATGGTTTTGCTTGCAGCCAAAACATGCAAGCAAAACACCGAAGGAAAGAGAAGAGAATGCCCCCCCCCCCCACCCCCACCTTATGTACCTGCACCATAAACTGCCAAAAAAAAAAAATAGAAATAACAAAAAAATAGGTGTGCACGTGCTCAGTCTATGCGTGATCTTAACAGCCGCTCACCTTCAGCTGCGGTCTCAGGCATGTTTGTCACTGTTGCAAGTTTATCACCACAAGCTTGGCTTTCCATTGGTTTCATTTAACATTTTGATTTGCTATTCACATCACTTGTCACTGATCGATCGCTGCGTTCCATCACATCAATTACAACGCTTGTGGCGCAGCAGCAATCAGCTGATTTTACTCCCGGAGCCTCCGGCTGCATCTGCGGCTGTTCAGGTGTAGTTGGGTTTGTTCGGCTGGACGTGCAGCCTCTTTTTTCTAAACTATTTCACTCCTCAGATATAAAATAACTCCTAAGCTGTAGTCTTTCCCCTTATAGGCTAATACCAGTGAGGGTGACCTAATTAGGATGAGGAGGATCTGATACAATTTACCAATACTTTTTATTTAGCAATTATTTGAAACAAGAAAAATTAAATGGATAACCTTGCTTGTCCATAGCAATAAAAATAATAAGCTACTAATAAACTACTATGGCTTCAAAAGATAGAAGAAGAAGGTATTGGTATCCGAAGATTTTAAATGATACCCAACCCTAGTTTATTGGGAGGAGTCTGTGTTGAATGAGCCTAAAAAAAAAAACAACAAAAAAACAAAACTACAAAACTGAACCACGCTTAACAGAACAAAATGACAAACAGTTGCTGTTCCTCAGAACCAAAGGTTTGCTTTCATTTGTATTTTTAATTACATCACAACCGTCAAATGTTGGAAACACTGTTTAATCACCCTCCGATTGACTGTTCACCCCTCTTATATTTTTAACTGACTGATTTCTGGGTGTCTGTATCTTTAAAATTTTATTTGAGAGACATCAATACTGCTGCTATGACGCTACAGCCTTGTCAATGTTGTTTTATTAGTTTTATTGTAATTGCAGTGCATTCAAGAGCACATATGGTGACTGGAACACAGTGCAGATACCTTAGAGTGGAAATAATGACAGCAGGTTTTAAGTACAAAACAACTGCAGCACATGTCCAAGTGTTGATAAATTTGACATGTACTGAAAATAGACACGTTTTAACAGTGCAGCATTAACGAAGTAACCCTAGGTATCAATTTGTTAAATTGATTGTAACATTTTTTAGACCTGAGGTGAAGCTAAGCCTGAAGAGGGGGAGAGGTTTCCATTGTAACTTAGGTCAGACACGGACGAGGGCAGTTTAAGGTTTACAAATGTTGATACTAAAACACTGACTTCCAGGCGTCTTAATAACCTTTTCCTCCAAATGGGTAGATAAATAATGGGATGTAATCAATTTAACATTCTGATTTTTTTGCTCCATTTTGCATATACAGTAAATACTGCACATCGGACTGCCAGAGCTTGTTAATCTTTTGAGTCACAGCCTCCTTCCCAGCGTTTTAAAATAGCTCAGCTGTTGATGTTTTATCCGCAAAATACATTACGAAGCAAACACTGCTGAGTCACATTTTAAGATATCATGTGACTATTTACAAAGTGAAATACAGTAGAATTAAGTCAGAAATAGTGTCGGACTGATGATCATATAAACTGCTTCACCCAACTCATTGTCCTTAGGGCTGGGCAATAATAATAATTATCGCAATATAATGTTTCTTGATAACAATATAATAAATGTTCAATATATCGTCAATAAATACTTGCTTGAATTCATTTGAATCACAAACAAATTAGCACCTAATTTTTCTATTAAAATATTTTGTTGAAAAAAAGAGGCCTGAAAAAAGATTAACTAATATTTGTTGAAAAAGACAATAGTTTTGAATCTTCTAACTCAGATTTGTGAAGTGATCCACTGTTTGGCATCAAGCGTCACCTTCTGTCCATAAAGAAAAGTTTAACCACATAATTAACCATCTGGTTTCTTCAATTTTCACTCAGGAGCAAAAATCTGCCTTTAAACTTGAAAGAAATAATGATTTGACATTTATCGTGATAATTATCAATATCAAATGATATGAAATGTTTTTACCGTGATAACATTTTTGGTCACATCGCCCAGCCCTAATTGTACTAGTTAGAACTTCACACTATCTGCCTCTGGCTGCAGCTTTGTGGTCCTGTGTGTTCACATGGTGCTGCTCTGCTCCCTTCAGACAACAATGGGATTTCCTGGAGAAGTCAATTCTTGATTTGTTTCTTCACTGTGACTCGCTCAGCTGTTTCAGACCAATGAGGCCAGTAATGTGGTTATCTGAGAGTGTATTTATTAATCACCACATCACAAGTTCAAGTTAAAAAAAACAAACAAACTTCGATCTATATTAACCATCACACAGCCCTTTAACACCTTGTGCTTCTGCACATACATTAACCAAAACAGCAGGTGAAGATGCCCACAGTTTGTGCCCCCAAGACCTAATGCATAACAATTGTCATTATACGATTAAAATAGGAATCAATAAGTGAACGTTAGAGCATAAAACAGAATGGCATTGAAAAGGAGACATCCCAGAGCCTTTTCACAGATATCAAAGCAAATTTGTTATGACACATTTCACTTCATATCTTTTGACCTCAGTGGTGTTTTTACACTTAAGTGCAAATAGGCGTTATTCTTATATAATGTGTTAGGATCCTAATTATTGTCTGAACAATAAATTACACTTGACAGATGGTTCACATCACTGCTACACACTGAAATTAAATCATTGCCCTACACCTGTGCACAGAGAAAGGGTGGAGCATTACCTATGAGGTCTTGTTTTGTGGGGCCTGTCGTACTCTGATCAAAGTGCAGGGAGACAGAAATGAGCAATATGGGTGGGGTTTTTCCATTTAAAAACTAAACATGGTTTTATGATTTAAAAGCACATTAGTGATGTTGTGCCTTACCCGTGGAGGATTTCCTTCGGTAGGACACACGCCTTTGACACTCATCCTTATTAGAATCAGTTGCGTACGTCATCTGTGAAAGAAACCATGTATGGTCAGATTGAACCATGTAAAATATATGACACACGCTGGCGTACTGATTTATACGAACAAAAATCTATTTGGTGTAAGTGACTAACTTTGCGCTAGAGCCACAGTCTTAAAGTATGAAATGAATAGCATGGATTCAAGAAATAAATCCTTCATTTAAGACTAACATTTCCTTGACTAAGCAACATAAACTACTGCCAGTCTTGTTGAAGCACCGTGTATATCCTGTTTTTGATGTAATCGTAGCAGAACCTTCTCGTGTTCTGTCTCCCTCTCTTCTTTCCAATTCTCTAAATAAAATAACAGAAGGTCAACAGAAAGTGCACGTCCCGCTGTTTTGAGATAAATAAAACAACAGACTAATTCTCGTTTTGCAACAGGCCTTCTACATCTTTCCACTACACTGAATTCATCATAATTACAGCCTACATCATGTCCGTAATGTCCACCCCACCCTTAGTACTTGACTAATACCCTTTATTCTCTCGCTCTTGGAAGATTAAAGAAAAATTAGCCTTCATCCTGTCATTTCCACAACCATGGATACATTGAAGCACTAAAGAGAATTAAAAAAAAAGTAATTCATCCAATCAATCCAATTAAATGGACATGGCAGGCATATAGTACAAGGAATAGATAGTTTGATTCAAGTTAATGGTCTCTAAAAGGAGCTTTCTTACTATACTGTAAAACAGAATTACTAAGATTGATTTTATATAAAAGCCTTCCATCCATTTCACCGCTTCCTAAACAGAGACAAGAATTAGTGGTGGCGCCTCCATGCCGATTACCTTGTCATCACGGAGGTTAAAAGTCAGCTCCAGGTTTGTGAGGAAGAGGTCGGCAAACTCTGGATACATGTCCAGCACCTCCAGAATCTCCTCCCTCTGAATGGTGTGGAGGTCACAGTAGCTCAGCGCCCGCACGTCTGCACAAGATTTCCCCGGCTTGGCGTACAGGTGTATCATCTCGCCGAAAATGTCGTTCTTGCCTATGAAAGAAACAGGCGGAGGGAGGGCGGCAAGCAATCAAACATAAGTAACCGACCCCTGTAAGCTAATTAAGCTGTAAGCCTTTCCCCTCATCTACTCTTAGAAGTGGCAACTTTAGTGGATATTATTTAATTCAGTTACTGGGAGAACACGTCGGTGGACAATTTGTAGTATAGTATGAGATGATCTACAAAGAGGAGGGCCACCTGGAAGAGAGGTACAAGAATGTTAGAGTCTAAAAGGCATCACGGGGATCTAAAAAGGGATTTACACAATGCCAGTCGGCCGGATGGAAGTCACGCAGGCCAAACATTCCTGTCTCCGTTTACTGAGTAATGACCTACATGGGATCGCCGCAGGGTTTACTATGCTTGCTTCAGTGGAGTATGTGTCTGCAGTCAGGGATTATGGTGCCCCAAAGTGTTCAACTTTGCATAAATTAATAAATAATTATGAAATAATTACATGAATAAATTGACTAAAACATGTACATGGAACTACAATTTGTGAAATTACTTTTCTTGAAATCATGGTGCTTGCAGAGATCATGAGCCAATTTAAAAATACTTACATCAAAATTGTGATCATGCTATTACCGTAGGCGTCAGCATTTTCCTGCATCGTGTAATGTAGTGCTATACATGACCACATGACAATGGTGTATAGGCACGACGGTGTGAAAATTGAGCCATCAGCAGTTCTCTTGCTATAGCAGAGAAAATGTGCTGAGCTTTGTGTAACCTACAACTTCAACATCCATGCTTCTTACTCATCATGACCCTATTGTGTCACTGGTTTTTCGCCAGACCTTATTGGCTGTATGAGAAACAAATGCATAGAAGGACACACCGGCCAGCTGCTGGGATGAGAAGAAGAATGGAGAGATGAGATTTACTGTGATAACATTTGGATGCCGTTGATGATGCCAGTGGCTCCTGTCATCAAGCAATGCATCGCACCACACTTCCTTTCTCCCTCTGTCACCGCATTTCTCTCCTGGATTCCTCACTCTGCCCCCTTTCTTTTACTCTCCTTTTCTGTCTCTCCCATCGCTTGTCTTTCCTTTCTACCCCGCCCACTCGTTCCGCTCTCCATCCCTCCCTGCTTCTATTGTCGTCTATCTCTATTTGAAAGCAATCATGCTGTCTTTTTTTTTTTTTTTAAACCAACACAGATCCTCTGTTACGCTTGTCCCACCATGTGTCCTCCCCCACTCTTTTCTGTCCTCTCCCGTTATCCGAGGCTCGACTGTGAGGCAGCAGCAATCACAATGTTCTTTGAAGTAAGTTATTCCAACAAACCCAATAGGGATCACAGCTGCCAACCTGCCATATCACAGCACAGCGGAGCTATGTTCATTTAGTCGGTCGGTTCATTTACAGTAACAGAGAAGAGTTCAGGCAAAGCTAACCAGGCTGGAATGACAGGACTATCGGACGTGCTCTTCTCTTCTGTTTTTGAAGGGTTTTGGAGCTCAAACACTGTCTCAACAACAGAACTGACAGGACTAATTAGAAATGTTTAGACGTTCTGTGTACAGCAACGCCGACTGAATGTCAGTGTGTTTCTACACTACGAGGGTGCGCTACATCATATCAGCACTGACATTCCTTGCATCCTCAGACCTGATATCCTACAGCCAGACAAGATAATGAATGCCTTTTTACTAGTCTGTGTGCAGCAGAAGGTATGTAGCGGGCCTAGCTTACAGTAGCTTAATTGGTGAGATCTAATGTCAAGGTGAGGGGGTGGGGGGCACCTACATGAACCTTGGTAAACTACATAGCCTATTTTTATGCATAAATGTTTCAATGCAATTTACTGTTCTACATATAGTAAATTAATAAAATTAAACAAACAATTAAAGAGTTTGAGAAGATCTATAGCACTATGTCATATATGAAGGCAATGTAACTCCAGCTCTAGCTTATAGACATAAGAAGGGAATCCATAAGTTTGATTCTGGGCAGGTAGGTAAAATACAAAGTAAATTATACTTCAAAGGAAGATTATGATGTAATATTTGTGTTACATTGATTGGGTTATGGTTTCCTGATGCCTCTACGTCTGGTTGTTGAAAGAGCTCAAAAAACATCAGACTTCTTAATTCCTATACAAGTGTTGACACTAACCCCACAATTGAATGCTGATGAACTCATGAGGTCCTAACAAACTACTGAATCACAGAAGCTTTCATGAGGTGCACAGTAGACCCACCCAGGATGGCTACTACAACGTCATCTTTCAGGATTTCAATGGAGCCGCGGGAGACAAAGTAGAGCGCAGTGAGAACGTCTCCGCTGTGGACTAGGGTGTCTCCAGGCGGCGCATGGGTGGTCTTGAACCTCATGGCCAGGGCCCGGAGGCAGCCCTTTGTGGCTCCACGGAACGCCTTACAGCCCTCCAGGAGGACCTTATTGAGGTGGAGGCAGATATCTGCCTGCAGGCACTCTGGGAAACCCTTCAGGACCTGAGAGTGAAACACGGGTTAAAGCAAGACATGATTATGGTCAGATGTGATGTGGAAGTATTATTTTTAAAAGCAGTCACTGCTTTGATATGCAGAGACTTATAATGTGTGTTGAATTTTGGTTTGGGGTGAAGTTGCAGGTCAAATCGACTGAATTTCCAGAGAGATTTGATACAATTGCCACTTGTGTTCTTTCCTTCTTCTCAAATCCTATTATACCCTGCAGTAGAAATCAGTTAATTTTACTGAGCCTTTCAGCAGCTTTAGCAGCAGATGAGAGACAAGACAGAACATTTAGAGACTGAGAAGCTGCAGATAAGTAACAGCACAAACTCAAAACACAGGTTCAATATTTATTATGTCTTCTCTCTGTTTGTGATACTGTTTATGGCACATCTTTTAGTATTTCACTGCCTTTATGCACTTCGATGATGAAACTACTCTATGAATCATAACATGGTATACGCAAGACCAAAAATTTTGTCTCAAAGAATATCTGTCTATTAAAACGTGTCAAAACTCTTCCCCATAATCTGCTATGTAGTAATAAATAAAAGAACTTGACCCAACCATGATCGGTCAAGGCATTCCTACAAACCCGAGTTAGCCTTAGTGACTGTTTAAAATACAATGAAAAATATTTGGAAAAGTTATTTTAACATTAAATTGAAAAATTTCTATATTGTGAGGACTTTCTGATGCATAAAAATAGATTTATAGTACACTTACCCTTTAAAGACAAAGATACAGTGACCACTGACAAAACAACTAATGATCCCCGGACAACGTGAACTGACTGTAAAGGATGACATTTTCAAATTTTAACACCATAACAGACACTGGAAAGTGAGGGAAAGGGCTTCGAGGACACATACGGGACAGTTGAAACAAGAAAACACATTTCTTATCTTTGTCATTTACACATAAAATACAATGTGTTAATGACACGAGCACAGCAAAAGAAATGTAGACTGAACTGGTTTTCTGGCTCTGACAGGATTTTTGTTGCTCAGAACAAAAACTGATCAGTAGATTTGGAAAGGAAAGACTGAACAACATTTGGCAAGCGCAGGTGCCACCGCAGAGCGTGCAGCCAAGCCTCCCACAGTGGGAGGGAAACCTGGCAGTGCCTGGCGAGGCTGTGCCCACTCTCACAGGCGTGATTCACTCTGGTCTCTGGTACCAGATGAACATCATGGGGTTGTGTTTGAATACATAGATTTCATGCAAAAGGGACCTCGAGGCAGGCCATGTGTCTAGTCTAACCGTAATAGACAATTAAGGTGGCCTGTGAGAAACGTTTAGCGTTATCTGTGTCTCCTGCAGTAACTGACATGCATAATTAAATACTGTAAATCCATCTATGATGTCATCACAGCAACTGTTTACAGTATGTTCATGTGTTCATGTATGTACAGTAAGTTGTGTAACAGATAAGGCACTGAGGGAACATGTCCTCTGATAACATGCATGTTTGGGACAACAATTAAACAAATGCTGTGTTATTTTATGTACATAAAGCTAAAGGCTAACAACACTACTAGTATCCGAACACAGCTAGATGAGGCTGTACCACTGAGGAACATTCATATCAACATTAGTTGTGTTAACACATGTACCTCCTGCTCTTACCATAGTGGTGGAGTCATTCCATTTGACATGAGGCAGACATGGAAAAGACAAACTTATGTAAGTACCATGAACAGTATCATGATGAGAAAAAGCCAGAGTTACTGTATGCAGAAGCGGTAACTGTGGCTTTCATTCATTTGTGGCTATGACTGAACATTGCACAGTATAATTGGGATGAAAACATTATACTATGCCAGTGACATAGCAAGATTGCTTCACAATGTGTATAGTAAGAGCATATTTTGGGGACAGGGTAGTTGAATCTCAGCAGAAATGGTGTTCAAAACATCAGACTCCCACAAATGACATTGGAAAGAGAGAAGAAGCAACAGAAGAAAGCAACAACAAACTTAAAGTTATGTTTTGTTACCATTGTGAAAACAAAAAAACCCACTTGCTAAATAGAGAAGCCCCCCAATAAAAAAAAAAAAAAAAAAGACACTGGAACACACACACTCCCTCACTTACCATATTCATGTCGATGCCGTTGGTGTACGTCCAGGCGTGTTGGAAGTACTCCTCCAGCCTCTGCCTCAGTGGGTTTGGGATCTGGTGGAAGCGGATGAACTCTTTGACCCGCAGCATCTGGAGGTGATACCTGGCTGTACCTGAATACAACCTCTGGATGATGGCAGACACGTTCCCAAAGATGCTGGCGTACATTAGAGCTGGGAGAGAAGCCGAACAGGTGACCGTTGAGGAATGGTGGCTAAAGGCTGGTACATTTAAAACTCAGTGGATCTTTCCTTTAAAAATATCCTGTTTGAGTAAATATTCATATTTAATGGATTGCAAATGTAAAGTAATGTTCAATAGCTGAAATACTGTGTGTGCTGAGGAGTGCTTTCTCATACAACTTTGATAACAGAGGGTTAGAGTAATAACAGGATGGAAATACTGTATGTACTCAGCTGCCACTTACATCCAATGAGCATGACGCAGATGGAGAAGATCTTCTCAGAATTGGTGTTGGGGGAGACATTCCCAAAGCCAACACTGGTCAGACTGCTGAAGGTGAAGTAGAGCGCCGTGACATACTTATCTTTGATGGAGGGGCCCGAGCTGGGGTCGCTGTAGTTGTATTTTTTTCCTACAATGTAAACAATAATACAGTGCATTCAAAAGTGACCATTTGGCCATCAAAAGTGACCATAAATCTTACGCCTTTAAAACTTTGTGTGAAAACAACAAGGAGGATCACCTATTGACACCCCCAAGTTGTCCAGCCAGCCGATCTTATGCTCCAGGTAAGGCTTCTCCACGTTCCCAATTGCGTACCAGATGCAGGCCAACCAATGGGCGATGAGGGCAAAGATGCACATGAGCAGCATGAGGACAGCAGCACCGTACTCTGAGTACCGGTCCAGCTTACGGGCGACTCGTACCAACCGGAGGAGACGGGCCGTCTTAAGTAGACCAATCAGTGTGGTGGTCTAGGGTGGAAGACAAACAAGAAATATACAGGATTTAGAATGTGCGTGTGAAATATTTCTATAGGTTGATGTGTGAAATGGTAAAATGTGCCAATATCTGCTCTGCCTCAGGCTTTGTGGGCCTCGGCTGCAGTTGGCTGGTGCATCTGGGGATCGGAAGGCAATCACAGACCACTAGGATGGTATAGGAAGGCTCTTTGAACTTCTGGGCCTCTTTGGGTGTAAGCAGGGATCAGAAAATACCAGACTAATTGGAGTGTGGGTTGTTGTTTCAGGACTACAAGAAAAAACTAAATACTGGATACGATTACCTATTTATACCTCACAGTTTAAACGAAACCACCTCTTTGGTGGAACAACAAGTCATGGACATGTGAAACATGACAGGGAGCCTCAACTAGACACTGTCTTTTTGTAAGGGGGAAATACTGGTTTAATCTTAAAGTATTGCATAAGTTTATCATGTTTTTAAACCTGTGAAGTATCACATAACTATGTCTGGAAACAAATTTGGAGTATTAAAAAGTAAATTCCCCCCCCCCCTCAGAAAAGTAGTGGAGTAGAAGTACAAATTCACATAAAATTGAAATACACAAGTAATGTAACTTAACAGTTCGTGACTAAATCTAAATCTACTTAGTCATTTTCAACCACTGGTCTCCTCATATTTGTCTGGTCTTCTGTTACTCCCGTCATCTTAAAATGATGCTGGAACCTCTTTGGCTTTTACGTAACATCTAAAGTTAACTGAAAAAAACAAATATCTGATCTAAATAAGCAGTTATGTCCATTCAGAATTTGAAAATGTGACCTTTAATAGTTCCAAAACAGACTTCAGCATGTGTGGGACAGGGACAGAAAATTACAGGAATAATCTCAAGTATGTCTCTAAACATTGAGACAAACCTTTTACCAGCAATCAAAGTGAACAAGTTGTTTGTCGTCTTTCAGCATCTAGGGTTTGGGTCAGGGTCATGAGCTGCTCAGGATTAGAGATTCAAAAACATGTGTAGCTTAGGAATTCTTAATCTTGTTCACACACCACATATACGAGACACAGAGCCTAGACAGTGGATCATTCCTGCTGGTGTAAACAGATCTTTCAAGGTCTCCGCATCCCTCAGCGTCAACACAACTTCACTGACTAAGACATGGCTGCCCGTGCCTCTGCAAATCATGAAAGTCAGTATGGAACTGGCTTTCGGTGGAACAAGCTGGCATGCAAATAAGAGTCTGAGAGAGAGCGGGAGAGTTTGATGATTCATTCACTTGGCTGACGATGAAACGCTATTGAATAACTGCATATGAAGACTGCAAAATTGGCTAAAGAAAACCCCATAAATATTAGCAGCTTGGAACCATTGTCATCTAAGCAGCCCCTCGAAATGTATACGCACAAACAAACAGACTTGCATATATACATTACAACGTACACACTGCCTTCTGTTCTGCTTAATTCAAAGCACTTTAATCCTCCCGTCTCAATTTTCCAGCCTGACTAAATAAACACAGATTATGAGAGAGGAGTTGGGTAGAGAAGGGCAGCATACAGCCACGACACAAGTCCCGATCTATTAGTGTCGCGCAATTTGTAAACACAATAAGTGAGACTTAGAGAATGCTAAAAAAAGGTCCCACCACTCCATATCGCGCCTGACAGTTATCCTAATATCCTTGGGGAAATCATTACCCGCAGCCTCCTGCAATAACTGTGCTTCCTCATGTCTATACTTATACTATGCTTCTTGTACAGATGCAAGTAAATATGAGACATGGATTATTATTATTATGTAGTAGTAAAAAGCAGGAGGGAAGGGGGCTAGTTGATTTTTTTTTTTGATGCAAGATGATTCATGAAGGAGACTGCATCGCCATCATGGTGAGGAAGACCGCTGTAGCTGCTTCTCATGGGTCTATTAAAGAGCCTCCATCCTCCCAATCTCCTTTGCCATCATTCACTGCTGTGCGTCTTGTCAGCACCATCCTTTCACTGACAACTGAGTAAACCGTGAATGAATCATATATAGAGATAGAAGAGCCCCTAAATTACCCAGTGAATGTCGCCTGAGCACTGCCTTAGGTGTAATGCTGCTGACTCTATCTGATTGACCTGCACAGATGACATAGCACACGCTGTATGATGTGGCCCACACAGTGTAATGTTGATTAAAATCTGGGATTACAGTAAGTCAGAGGCGTTTGGGGCTGAGGAGCGTAGCTAAAGCTCCCATTAGCAACCAGCTGTAAAAAAACATATCCGCCAAATATCCCTCTGGCCATCTGCCGCTGTGGCTTTCCCGGCTCGCTTGGCCACTTTAAAACCCATCTAGGGCTGCAATGTAACCTTTTGACTGTGTACAAGGACGCAACATGCCATCAAATATTCAAGGTGTTCTCATTTAAAAAGTACTTATAGTAATACACCATCATGTCATGATATTCTTCAATATTAGTGAAACTAGAAGCTGAACATGAATGTATGAAACTGACAATGGATTGACACGGATAAAGTTTAGTCACTGGGCACATTTCAAAATCTTTTGACTTGTTGGGAACATTCAGTGTTTTAGTTGATTTAACTTAGATGTTCAGCGTCTAAGTTTTAGTGGCATCATCATGAAATGCAACCAGTGGCTAACGGTGTATTCACATGCTCCTCGGATGGTCGCATTTCTCCGAGTTGTAAAGTCGTTCTTCTGACTTCAGTGTGTGTTCATGTGCTCTTAAGTCGGAATGTGGAGTCAACATGGACGCTACAACAAAGATGCGTTGGATTAACATTATCAGAGCGTGTAAACACACAGACATCTAGTTCACTCACACATGAACAGCAAACTAACAGTTATAACCATATTACAAATTACAATTATGTATATGCAAAACGTGATTTTGCACAGTTCAGAGTTCTGTATACTTCTTTATATACCCATGTATTTCTATTTTTGCAATGAAGACTTAATGCTCTGTCGGCTCTTGTGCTAAATAATAAGTATGAGCCTCCATTTGTCCAAATTTCTCTTCTTACTTCTAATGAACCAGTCTACTATTACTACTACTACTTGTTCTTTTTCGTACGTATTCAACGTAGTGACGAAACATGCACTGTAGAGACGTTTGTCCATTTGGGCTACTGTAGAAACATGGTGATGTCCATGTAAGAGGACCCGCTGCTTATAGTTGCCTAAACTTAAACCTGCAGTAACAATGGGGGCAGTGGAAATAAGTTGTTGACACAACTTTGACATATTATCGCCACTCCTTTTAGCTCTGTTTTTGGTCTCCACCAACTCAAAAATGAAAAATGTGTGTTTGGTGCTGGGTAAATAGAGTTCATCATGGCAAGCAACACCTTTCCACATACACAAATTCATACAATGCATTGTTAATATGAAAATATTGAAGCTTTAATCATATTCGTGACTCTTACAGCCCATTTGCTGTTAAAATATCTTTATGCTGGAGCTGTCAACAATTTCGCTTTGCTTATTCATGTAATCTAAAAAGAAAACAGTACAGTGTGCAACTATATCATTGTTTGGGTAAAAAAAAAAAAAGTTTAAAGACACATCTCTGTCTATTCTGACTGCAGGAGGGCAAAAGTGAGACTGAGGGGGCTGCTTGTTACAATAAACCTGCCTCCACTTTCTTCTTTGTTTAGCACAGCCGTTGCTGCAGGTCTTGCAGCATAATGGAGCTGCAGTGCATTTCTGTATTCTGCTTTAACCAAAGGCAAAAACAACACACATTTTAAAATCTGGCAGAACAAAGAACTTTTTAAAAGGGGGATGGTTAATTAAACAAAGCTACTTTAATTTGCATGAAAAATGTATATAGATTAAATCAGCCATAAAATAGCTTTTTTTGCATGTGGTTCACTTTGAGGTAAAAAAGTTAATTTAAAAGATCCAATCAATAATAAATCACTGACATAATCAACTACTGAACCAAAAAAAAAAAAAAACTCATTTTGAAGTAAAATCACCTTGCTCTAAGAGGCCTTTGGGTAAGAACTCTTGGCTTAGTTCAGAGCTATTTGATGTGCACAAATCTACTCTACACTGCCCAGGATTAAATAATATTTGAATTCTGGTTTAAGGCAAATTTTCACACTAAGCCTCCATCATTTGCAATTACCTCAAATTCGAACACGTCCATGTGGACGTGGACATAGTAGGCAAATAATCTCATTTTATCACAACAGGACATTGATATGAAAATGGTGGAAGAGCTCACATAACTCCTGTAGGTAAATTCAGCACCACACCATTTCTTGCCAGCCCGCCTAGCTGAAATCCCACACTAAGAATCAAAAAACAGTCTCACGGGAGATTTCAACCCGCCATGTTTTTAATGTAATCAGCAAAAGAAATCTTAACCTATTGGCGGAGATGGTTTCCAGGCAACAAAGGTGCACTAGATAATGTCTAAAAATAGTCCCCGTCTCTGCACAAAGAGCTAAAATAACACATCTTAAAGAGCTAAAACTGTACATGGATGTGTTATTTTCAGTTTCTGCTGGTGATTAGACGAGCTAAATATGCAACACTTTGTTGTTCTACTCATCCTGTCACTGGACACAAGCTGTGACAGGAACACACATTCTGTCACTGCACCAGTCATCTAGCTGTATGACGAGGACATACATCGTGCCGCCGTGTCGCTCAGCTGTCTGCTCTTTCTTCTCCACCTGCCACTCACTGCCAGCCTCTAGCCATGGACTCCCTCACAGGAACACATACCTAATGGTAAATAATGACTCTGCAAACCAACGGACTGACGTCAGGGCCTCGCTCTCAACACACACATCTGGGATGGTTTTTTGGGCGTTACATAACAAATCTAGCAACTTCACACATTTAAATAGATTGTTCTCCTCTGCATCCTTTAGTCCTTCCAACAGTTTAAAACAAAGTGTCAGAACTTTATCAATCTGCATTTGGAAATGAACTTACTGAAGTCCAAGAATGAAATGAATGTACAATAAGTTTTCCAGCGCAGGCTCATGCTGAGATTTGTATCCTTTGTCGTCAACTTGTTATTGCACTTTCTAAACTGCTCTCTCTGAGCATTAGATTACCTGCTAGGCCATCTCCCTTAGACATAAGTGAACAAAATAGTTTCTCACAGGCAGAGTGGTTAGGGAGGCTGTGATCTTTTTTAACTGATTTGGATTGCCTGAGGGCCTTCCAGTCTGGCTCTGATGAAAAGAGAGCGGAGGCAAGCAGATGTGACAGCCATGCATCAGATTGGTTTAGTGGTCTCAACATTCGAGAAAACAGCTCAGAAATATGACTGCTGGAGCTGTGGCCTCACGCCACGACACACGAGAGATTCAGCATTGCTGTGTAATAATATAAACAACCAATGCGAAGATTTTTTGTTTGTCTTGTATTTGGCTTCTAAAAAAAGTAGTATCAAATGCATGTAGGCAAAGTAAACTGTCTCATTCTACTTTATTTTTAAAGCTGTATTTGGCAATAATGCCGGCCACACAGAATAAAGATTGATGAGGGGTTCTTATCAGCTATAATCGACAACAGTAGCCTATCCTGCAGGCCTTTCCTTTATCAATCTGAAGGAAGCAGGTATCTGTTTCATCTGCAGTTTCTAAAAGGAGTGATGTTGCTTGACAGTGTGCAACAATTATTTTCTACAGTTAATTATTCTACAGTTTTATATTTGCAAATCAACAGGCGTGTTGGAGATGGACAAAGTGACCAGTCAAATATAACGGAATTAAACTTAAGTACAGCATGCAAAAAAATTTACCTCATTTTAAATTCTGCTTTCCTTTTATTTATGGCACTAATGTGGTATTGAACGTCAGATGGTCATTGTAAGGATCATTGTGATGACAAATATAATTGCACGGAAAAGACGATCAGATCTTCACTGCATCCAAAAACAAGAAGCTTCCTCTGATAAAAACTCTCAACCACTGTCAGTGCGTCATGAGGGGGAGAGCCCTGTATTTAAAGGGGATGAAAGTCATGAATGTCATTGCCATGATTGTCACAGCCTTTAACACGGCCATCTATAATGAATGATAATGTATTCTTTCTGATCCTACCCCTTATCCAGTGCGCCACAGGTGCATGTGATGTGCTGCGCCACAGAGATGCCCAAAACAGAGGCCTTTGCTTATTAGTTAATCTTTGTAATTTCTTGCTGTAACTCAGATCCTATACGGAATTGTATTTAATGCTGTGTGAATTATTGCAAACGTGAGGGTATTTTGTCTCCATAACAGCTTTTCTTGTGAGAAAATCCAAATTGATAGACAGGCTGACTGATTTGTTGATCGAGATTCTAACACCCGACCTCTCTACACCTTTATTATATCATTATCCCAATTCTAGCGCTTTAATAATACGGACGGATAAACCAAGTAACCGATTACCCCCCCCGCAATCTTACCTCATCTGATCCTGAGCCAAAGATGAGCAGGTCAAACGGGATGGCGGCCACCATGTCAATGAGGAACCAGCCTTTAAAGTAGTGGATGGCAATCTTTGCCGGGTGGCTGACCACTTCTTCGTTGATGTTGACATATGTGGTTCTGAAGTTTATAAGGATGTCCACAATGAACATAATGTCCACTATCAGATCCACTACGTTGAGGGGTGAGCAGGAGTAGCCACACTCCCTCCTCCTCTGCTCCTCGATGTCGTTGAGGAGGAAGGCAGCAGAGTACGGAGTGAAAATGGCCGTGTAGATGACCAACAGCAGGATCAGCCAGTCCCACACTGCTTTGAACGGACTGTAGTGAAGGATGGTCCACTTGTCCATGCGTGGTGTTTGGAGCTTGTACTCCGGTAGCACATCTGCACCCAGAGAAAGAACCTGAGGAGGAAGAGATTTGATCAACTTACTCCAATGAAATATTATCGAAGTGGAGAATTCATTTTTCTGGTGATAGTACGGTTTGTTATCGGCTCTGCTTTCAACCAAAAGCACTGCTATTTGAGAGAAAAGTGGAATTTAATGGCGTTGCTGCAGGTTTCTGTCTTGCCTTAAAGAAACTCCACTAATTGTGCACATAACGATCAGCTCACACAACAGTAAAAAACAGTTGTATAATTTATTTCTTTGGCTCTGGAAGAATAACAATTGTCGACATCAAAGTAGCAATTTCTGAGAAGAACCTGTCTTACAAATTGGATTTTAATCCACAGTTTTTGGAAAAAAAAAATCTAAAAAGTATCTCAGCTACTTTGATTTTGACAAATTTTTTTTTTTTTTTAAAACACATGTCCCACACCAGTCCCTCTATTTTCTGAAAGTTGAATACTATATCACTTAAGTTCCCCTTCAGGTGCAAAGTTGGTCTTGTAAACAAAGCAAAAATATCCTCAAATTCTCCACTGTGCAGCATTTCGGCATAAAATGCACATTTAGATTAGAATGATGAACAGCAGAAGAATCTATAATATGCCCTGTTGTTCAAGAAAACTAAAATTAAATTCAGTAAAATGTAAATGCAGTTCAATATAAGCCAAATACATAAGCATTTCCATGCCTTTAAGTTGTTGTGCTAGTATGTGGAATTGTATTATGACATATGACTGAAGATTAGGTCAAGTAAAGGTCATGTTTGCTGACATGCGAGTAATCTGGCTGCAGGAGTTGATCAGCACTAAGACTGTACAACTGTACATACTATACAATCCTAATGCATTTCAACATCATCTCCCAAGTAAAAGAAAACCTTGTATAAAAAGAAGAGGCCTAAATTTCTCACACCCCAAATACCTCATTCATGTGGTAAGTGGAAAAAATTATAAATTAATAATATCTTTCACAAGCCATACAGGAACAGGCTGCTTTGGAGTCATGACTTCATAACCTCGGGAAAATCCTAAAACTACTGCTGTTGTGGGAAAAGATTTTTTGAGACAATATCTGGGAAGTTGTGGATCAGAGCAGAAAATAAAACCGTGTCATGCAAAAATACAACACAACACTGACGTGTGAATTGTCTACAGGAGACAACTTAAAAGAAACAACCTGCGCAAAATCCTTAAGGTGTTCTGCATCAAGGATGGAGGTATAATCTATTCCTGCAAGCCTGGAAGTCATTATCTCTGTTATTGCAGTTACCGTATATACCTGAACAGCTTTTAACATCGATATTACAGCACCGTCATGGACCATTTCGGATAAGAGTCTCAATGACTTGGAGGTAATTATAGGTGCAGGCAGAGGATACATCTATTCATATAAGTGTCTGACACTTTGGCTTTCACTGCTGATTATAGCTCTAAGGAGGAATGCAAAGAAAGACAGGCTGGTAAAGTACAGTACATGAGCTGCAAGGACAGAGAGATAATGAAAGAAAAACTGTAAATGATTATTTGGGCATCATTGCTTTGTGCATATGCCCCTTTCTCTGCCCTGGTTACCTTCATGACCCTTGTGACTGAGAGGAGAGGGCAGGGGGCCTCAAGGATGATGTATGGCACAAGAAAAGGCTGGAGTGTTAATAATTTAATTGGTTATTAGAAACTCCTGTCCTCTGTGCGATGGGTCAGGGTCAAAGGCTTGGACCCTCTGATATGGGATAACCTTTGGAAATTGATCAGCAACCAAAAGGACAAAAAGAGAATGTGTTCTATTATTTACAAGGCTGTCACTTCATTAAATACAGGTGTTTCACACGCTTGTTTCATTACAGTCACATCTCAATGTGTAACTGCTGTTGACTTTCAAATAACTGGGCTTAGATTTCCATGTTTCTAAATTGATTTCTGTTAGAAAACTGGCTGGCGTAGAAAGAGGTATGAACAAACATACAGAAAAGCTTGCAAATAACCCATGACTGTTTTTGGGATTAACAAAATACACCCCATACCAGTCTATGTGGATGTGTTTAAAGTCCTTGCACAAACGCTGTTCTGCCATCATGCAGTTTATGATCAATAGTGATGATACAAGATGGTAATTCTGCACTACACTAACACCGCTCAGCATGCATAGATACGTTACCCCTTGGCCTGCTAGCAAGCCTGGCAGAATGACAGCTCTGGATTAACGTGTTGAAGCCAATCTGTTTCTAAATAAAAGATCCCATCTTAATTATTTAACCTACCTACTGTAGCTATGTGCACTTGGCGCAAATGAACTCTCTCGTGGGATAATGGAAGGCTCGTTCTGTGTTTGGCTTAGCTTCAAACGATATGCAAATGAGCATTAGCTTTCTACCCTTCTCCGGTTCATTTTGGTCTGCGCTGTCAGGGCTGGGGTATCATTTATAAAGGAGGATTGTTGTTTCATGTTTCTGTGGCAAATCACATGGCTTCCATCATTAAAAATGATGATGATTCAGCTTCAGATAACCCTAAGTTTAAAATCAGACATTAATGAAAAGCTGTGGGCATGTAAGACTCGTGTGTACTTGAGCTGCATGCACTGATACGTTCACAATGTGAGAAACAGCTTGAGAGCTGAAAGTCTGCTTCCTTGAGTCTTAGTTGACCGGCTTCCTGGGTGAACCCTCCATCTGCCTGAGGTAGCTATGAGGCAGCCAAGGCCAGGAGAGAGCGTGTCTGTTCAGACGCCTTGATTGTGACTTAAAATGAACTCAGAGGGGTCCGGAGTTGGTTTCAAGACATCTGCTGCTGCTTTGTGCGCCTCACTGTCAGGTGTATGGGGAAGTGTTTACAGAGCTAAACTGTGGAAAGAAGGGGATATGGAGCAATCCCCCCATGACTTATTTATCTACGACTAAGTTACTATAATAATTCTAATGCTTATCAGCACGCTGTAAGCAAAACACAGACAACAAAATGCGTTGAACACCATATGCTCAGTCATAGAAGGAGCAAGAGGGGAGGGGCGCTGAAGAAACACGCATTTGACAGCCAATTTCCAGGTGGATCAGTCATTGTAAACACAAACCGGACACAACATTGCGACAGTATTTTAAAATGAACACTGAGTGACATGACACATATATATGTGTGTGTGTGTGTGTGTGTGTGTGTGTGTGTGTGTGTGTGTGTGTGTGTGTGTGTGTGTGTGTGTGTGTGTGTGTGTGTGTGTGTGTGTGTGTGTGTGTGAGAGAGAGACATGAAATGCGATTAGTTTTGTAATCTGTAATCCCAGTTTTGACTACTACCTACTGGAGTCAAAACTGGGATTACAGACATGCGGTAGCATTTTTTACCACTGGCACATCAGTGTTAGTAATACACCTGTTTTGTGAACACACCCTTCAACAAAGCAGAAGTTACACTGTAAGGTCCTCTTGTCTGCCACATGTTAAAAGTCCATTCAAACCACATGAACAAGCCTGGTTTCCCTGCTGCTTAATAACTTTGACTTTAGTGCTGGATGGAGAGGTCAGTGTGATGCACTGTGGTCTGCTCTGTCTCTGCCTCTGGCTTAGTCTAGGCTTTTAGCCGAAGTTGCCTTTGAGTCCAAACAGGGGCCAATTTCTGTGCCCTCTATCTCTTACACCATTAATGCAAAACTGAGACCTAATCTGTGGTTTGGGGCAGCTTCGGCCTACTCCTGGGAATACATTAACTCACAGTCCCTGTCTTCTCTGTGCTGCATCTCAGCCCTGGCAGGGAAGGTGAGAATGACCCTCTAACCCCCGACCGTAACTCTAGAAAAATGCCCTGAGACCTGGACACTGTCTGGCAGTAGTAAGAGTATCCCTGATTATTCGCCACCAGTGACAGACATATCAGACCGTTTGAGTTCCAATTAATCACCCTCAGGCACACATTGGACAAGTGGGGGGAGGCAGACCGGCCGGGGGTGTGGATGACTTCATCAGCTGCTCAATGTGTGCAAGGGTGATTTGTGATGATAGTAAATGATATTATGATGAACATTACTATTGAATTCCAATGTCTCTTAGCTCCAGTCTGCACAACCACAGACAGTGAAATGACTGGTGGTTTGAATTATTAATAATAAAAGCAAACTATACGTGCCCACTGCTGTTTTCAAGTTTTAGTCTCAGGCAACAGCAAAGTATCCAATATGACCATGACAGAGAACTTTGTAACAGATGGGTGGATGATGGATTTTATACAACACTGACAATAACAATACGAGCTAGACTGATACATATTAACTTCTTCCCAAAAAAAAAAACAACAAAACCTGCCACAGGACAGAGAAGGGATCCCTGTTGTGTGTAAAGAACAGACCAACATATTGAAATTACAATAAGGTAAATCCAGATTACAAAATTGCAGAGTAATTGGAAAAGACATGTCAGCAAGGAAGTGCTAAACTAGGTTTGAGATAATTTAGAAACATTGAAAAGTTGTTGAGACCTGATCCAAAACAGACCCGTGGATACCCTGCCTAATCCCAGACAGCATAAATTAATTCTAAAAAAACCCCAAACAAAACAGACCTGAAGGGGTCTGAAGGGGACCCAAGCACAGAGGATACCCAACCCGCATAGAGTTGAGGATAATTAGACCCAATTAAATGTGGCTGACCTGATCAGACGCTAACAGAGAGAGAACACCTGCAGCAGCATGATGATCAATCATTTAACCCATGGTCGAAAATAGCAGCAATATAATCATGGCCTTATTGCACAATTATAAAGTGAGAGAAACTAATTCCAAAAATACTTTTACTACTTGTTCATATAGTCTCAATCCGTCTATATTGTTTTTGTTTGTAGTGTGTGTTATGTGTGTGTTCTCTATACTGTAGCCTGTGTCTGATTTTATAATTGTATTATTGTATAAGTAGGCACATTGCGAGCAATGCACAACCAGAGTCAAATTCCTCATATGTGTACACATACCAAGCAATAAAAGCTGATTCTAATATGCCTTACTGAATCTTTTATAGAATTAACTGAAGTCTTCACCTCCTGCACCATTCTGATGTTCTTTTTCTAACCAGTGTAATATCTCTGATTCAAATTCCAAAAAGTAATTAATTTCATGTCATTTAACAGCATCATTTTTGTTTTTAATACACATTATAAAGAGTATGTTCTACACCTGAACTATATGAAAAGTGCTCTGAGATAACCTGATTCGGTGCTGTATAAATAAAATTGATTTGCTAAAATATTTTCTTAGCAGTGATGACATACCATGTGACCAGAGCTGATAGTTCGTAAACTGTTGGATTCAGATCCACTCACATATTGCCACACAAGACCCGCTGCAGTAAAACCAGACCCCACATTAGACATTAGAGCAGGGATCGGCAAATAAGTCTGGCATCGGGCCAAAGTTTTTTCAAGTCTTAACATGGCGGGCCAGAACATAGTCAAATCATTTCAAATCCTTATTCACCTCATGTGTAGGTCAGTAGGCGCGGGATTCCCGTTAGGAGGATTATATGATCGATCCCAACATACGGCAGATATTTTTTCTCCCTTGTTCAACAAACGGATTATAAGGACACTTTTGCACATGCTCACAATAAAGCATGTGCTGCAGTGTGTGTGTGTCCCGGCGTTTGATCCGCCTTTGTAAACCCATGGATGCTTATTTTCATTTCCCTGAGGAAATTCAGGGGAATCCAATCACACCATTACTGGCAGCTTTTTAGATGTGTGTCAAGCACGCGAGAGACTCTTTGAAAAGTTCTAAAGGACATTTAAAAGTAAAAGCTCTCAATAAACTTGACAAAGCTGCAAAAAACCAGAGATGCAGAGATTTAAGGCCCACACAACTGGAAAACACTCAGTCTCAAGTGAGTTTTCACAAATTCATAAACTTTTCACTGGTTTTTGTGGAGAGCCCCGCTTGGTTAGCATCTTACCTGCGTGACTTTGTCGGTGACATTGTGTGTGCGGTCTTTGACCTTTGGGGCGATGATAGTTTTCTCAGAGGATGGAGGGGAGGGGCACTTCTTCTCATTGTTCACCTCAGAGAAGTTGAGCGTGATGAGGGGAATCTTGTTGATGGTGCTGTACCTGTTGAGGTTGGAGTCGGAGGTGGAGCCGAGCAGGCTGGATTTGATCTGGATGAGCGGCCCTGAAAGAGAAAGCAACAGAGTGGGGGTGTTATCTTTAAAAGTCACCTCATCTTATAGTGCCATTGGGCTATTTTAGATTTAATAGGCGTTCTGAATCATGGACATCAGAGAACAGTCTAGGGTTTATTTGTAACCGCTGTGACATGGGTAGTGAGCATGGAGCGGCCCTTACTTTTGGAGTGAGTTCAACCAAGACACAACACAGAGAATACAACAGATGCTGAAATACAAACTCTACACCCTCTGATTGACCTGTCTAGGATGATCAGGCCTTTTATAGTTACTTATTAAAAGTTAATTAATGAAGTACACTGCTGGTGAAAGAAAAGAATGATTCAATGCACAAACAATGCAACTTCACGCAGTTAGGCAAACTATCTGTCTGATGGAGCCTGGACATAACCGGTGTGTGTTGAATTAACAAAATGTTCCGCCATCAAACTACGCAATGTTCTCTACACATTCACAGCATAAGAAAAGCAGACTCTCTGAATTAAAGTCCCTGTCTTCTTGTTAAAGCATTAAACACTGCAACAATATGTGACAGCACTGTGACACACACAGACATGTGGCCCAATGAGGGTGATAAAAAGTGAAAAAGACAAAATTGCTGATTCAGCCGTGTGATCCAGCAGAGGAAGGTTGCACTATTTCCCCCTCTCTTTTCACAAAGTACAGTACAGTGATTGAGAGTCAAGGACAGAGAAACAGACAGCTGAGGATGAGATACTGCATGCAGAGCTTCAATACATGCCACAGCAAGGATACATCAGTGCAATCATAAAAAATAACTTCAAAAAAGGAAAAGCGGAAGCCATACCGCCAGCCATCCAGGAGCGAGACACTGGCAAACCAGGAGAGAGAAGAAACAGGGGGTAGAGGGTAAAGTGGGAATATGGAAGGGTGATTGGATTGCAGGGTCAGTAGTCATGGCTATAAACATCATTACTTAAAATATACACATAAGGGCATTTATCAGGAAATAGAGCACCTTGGCAGCTCTATGAGTAAACCTTTATAGGATTGAAATGTTCATACTTTGATGCCATTTCAAAACATCTACTTTCATTTATACTTTAATTTTAGGAACTCCTCATTTGATCCTTTACCTAATTAAACATTAATGCATTAAGTCACGATCTGTGTCAGAGAGATAATGTTGTGAAACGCATGCAGCATAAGCACTGCTACAGTTCTGTTTAAATTATTCAGTTCCGCAATTTAAATTATTACGGGGAAAAAGGACGGGGTGAGTCAGGACCTTTTTCATTCACTAACACATGGCAACAAGGAGGTTGCACAAAAGAATACAGAGGTTACAGACAGTCGGAGTATCATCTTGGAAAGTTTCATTGATTTTCTTCAATGAACAAAAGTAGGAGAGATTTAATGTGTTGCTTCATGCAAGCGCGTGCAGAGGTCAGTTGTTTTTTTTCTTCCCCTTTTTAAACTGAGCCTCCCCCTGGGTGACTGGCTAGGGTTCAGCAGGTCATGTGCACTGAGACTGAAAACTCATGCAACAAGCAGGCATTGTGCAGCATGTAGTATCTAATAGATGTGCTAAAACTTAACAGATCAAGATGCAGCAGGCTGCCGTTTGTTACCTTTAATATTGCGACCATTGTCTGTGATGGCAGCAACACAGCGTTGGAGAAGAAAGAAAAAGGGGAGTGGAGGTGAGAAGAGTTTCTGGTTTTCTATGATGACAAATGAGGGCTGGCATTAAACCCCGCTACCGGCCCTGTGAACAATTCATTACTGTGAAGTAGACGTATTACTGTGTCAGCCACTTGGAACTATTTGAATGAGGATTGTAGATAAGGGGAAGGGGGTAGACTGATTGGCCTGGAGGAAAGAGGGCCAGTCTGGGGCACTTCTACCCTCAACCAAATGAGGGCCAAAAGGCTAATGAGTGATTTAGACTGCTGGGAAGATCAATAGCACATGGTATATATGGTGACTCACTATAACACTGATTAACAGACTGGCACGCCACATCTCCTATTTTGGGACCACAGGGACTTTGGTAATTAATATAGCCAAATTACAGTCAATGCTTGTCACGACCAATAAAGTCCTTCACACAAGGACTTTATTTTTGTGAAATACAATATTTGGGACCACGTCTGATTCTCTTCTTAGCTGACATCACTTGGCAAGTTCTGGTTTTGTTAGAGCAGTGGTCGCCAACCACCCACTATCGGGGGTCAAATGTTAATTTTTAAACTTATTTTAAAGATCCCCTCCGGGCATGTTGGGGGAGATATACAAAATAAATAAAATGACATCAGCTCCTTCTTCATCATTGAAAAATTCATTCTCATGAGTATACAAATAAGTTAAATTTTCTAAGTGTAGCTACTTCACTGAAAAATCCATTCGTATGAATATGCAAATATGTTTCATCTTAAAAGTTTAACTACTTTACTGAAGTCCATTCTCAGTGTGCAAGTACTAGAGGCTTCAAGTTTCCACATCACATTTGTGTAAGTTGCGTATTGGACCACAGTTGGCCAAAACGAGATTTGAGGAGAGCATAGAAAAAAAAAAAATTTTGCCCTTCATGAGATGAATGTAAAAACAGCTTTCTAGTGTCAAACTCTGCTCAAACCTCCAAGTGACATAACAATAATACATTTTTGAGTGGATCTTAAATTAGATAAACTACAGGAATACCAACTACGACCAAGGAGTGGGACACAGATATAGTATTTGTTTGAAATTCAAAGCTGCTTTACAGCATGCATTAAGTGTATAGTAGAGCAGGAGATTCCTACCTTCACTGGCATGTCTGTCCCTGAACGCCATCTTGGAGTTTGACCCAAAGCCTTCCATGTCATGTACGGAGGAGGCTCTGCGAATACTGCACACACTCTCTCTGGAGGCGGTTGGAGTGAGGCCCGGGATTGACGGAGTTGCAATAAGTGTGTCCTCCTGGCTCTGGTGTTGGGTCTGGGCAATGGCCTGGTCCAGGTACGTCCGGTCCCAGGGGCCCTTGGGCGATGAGTGGTCCAAAGGCCCGGACACAGGGGTGGAGCAATGGCTGGGGCCGATGAGGGCGCGGGTGTCGTTAGCGTAGGAGGGACTGCAGCTCTCGCGGGTGGCGGGAAGTTGGTAGTCGCGCGTAGCCACAGAGCCGTCGCTGTGGCGAGGGGAGTCCACCATGACAGCATCGGGGTCTTCCTGGGGCAGGGACTGCTTGCTGATGCCCAGAAGAGGTAAGGCCGGGAAACGGAAGCGAAAGAATCTCCCTTTCCCTAAGAGAGAGCGATGAGAACGAGACAGTGTCACAGTGAATCTATTACTGTCATATTATTCCATACTAATAGCCCATTTGACAACATTTTATGCTGATCAATAACACTTTGTATGAAGTGCCTTAGCTATCAACGGCCTTAGAAGTTCTGTTTATATATGTGATACCAATTGCGCTAAGTATCAGAGTACTAGACTAGCGTGAAAGTTATCTGACACCAAAAACAGTGTGCTGTAGTTTTAATGAGCCAGTGGGATCTACATAACCCCCACTGACCTTGTGTTGTGTTTTTAAGGTCTTTGTAGCAGAACTTGCTTGCAGTTTTCAACATCCCTGCTGATATCTCGTACTTGTTTGCCAATAGCACTGAAAAGCCTGCCAATGCAGCTATCTTATAAAGACACTGGCAGATCAAAACAAATGCCCGTTCTACTTCAGGCAATAGTTCAATCTTCAATTTCCGTCAATTATTCATGGAGGAGGACATTTGCTGAAATATTAGAATGGCAGAAGTGTGTTCAGGAGTCAGTCCTATAAAAGGATTATGTGCAGGATTTTAATGAGCTTCCTGGGGAGACAAAGGAGAATGTAACACAGACAAAGTGACATTTAGGGTGCTGCTGTCATAACAGTAGGTAGTTAGGGAATGTTATGCAGGAAAAAGGCAAAGAAACATAAAAACAGAGTTGAGTTTAGTGTGAAGTCTGTTAAAAAAAAGCATATAGGATATACACCACACACACACACACACACACACTTCAGAAATAGGACATTTAATTGCATCTAACAATATCTGCAAACATGTCATGAGAGAGAGAGAGAGTCACGCTAACAGGATTTCACATATGGGCCGCAAACTGTAGCGTGCATGTTGTGAATCATTTAGTCGCCTGAACATATGCCATACATCAGAACGCCATCTCAGCCCTCGAAAAGCGAGTCTTACCGCCATGAGGCCTAGTGTAAACCAAGTCCTTTCATAAAAGCATTAAAAGAAAGGATGAGCAGACCTGAGTTTATGAAACAACCACCTCACACCACATCATTATGTCCCTTTTGCACACTGAGCAAACGACAGCACATTATATTTGACACACCCCATTCAACTCCAATCTCTATCTGCAAAGAGTGGAACAGCTATGGATGTATTCAGAAACACAATAGGTGGTAAAATTGAAAATAAAATTAATGTTTGAGGTTCAGTGGGGAGCAGCATGCATCTTTATCTTCCTCATTTCTCCTTCTGGGTGAGACAGAGAGAAAAACTAATTTTAGACACCATTCTCCATGTCTGCTTTGGTGAGTGTAGTGTGTTTAAATTAAATCCCAAGCCAGATACTGATGACGCCAGAAATTATAATTTGCATTTAACTGGTGATTCCGAGCTGGGGCTGAAGCTAGTGCTAAACATCTGTTGTGCAGTATGAGCTAAACAAGTCATTCATTTTAACGAAGATGAAGCGGTGTTGTTGCTTCTGCAAAAAGATTCATGAACAAAGTTCTGTTTCATCCGAGAGCTAGGTGCTATGAGGCAGTTAAGATTGCTGATCATAAATACCATCCGATTCATCAGTCTGAAGCCAATCACTAAACAGCACACCGAATTTATATGCCAAAGAGTCTGCACAATAGAGCAAAACCTTGTTCAGTGGGGCTGTCTCAAACACTTTCCCCTCCGAAGGAAAATTGTTCCCTTGTGCAATCACACCACAGCAATATTACTACTTTTACATTTCCTTCAACTGTGGACAATCTCGGAGATTTAACGTTTCATTTTTCAGACGATTTGATTTTAATGCTTTCCTCAACAAAATAATGAATGGTAGCTCATGAGCATTCACATGCTCAGAGCTTTGTTTCTAATTAATGTGCCTGGAGGATAAGCACGTACGCCACAAATCTTTTAATTAGCTCGTAATTCACGGATTCGTGATGCATGCTGAAAACATTGTATGTAGCTATATTTAATTGTGATAATTGAAAGGGCTGAACCTTACAGGAATAAGCTGCCCTTTAAGTGCTGTCGTGTGTGTGTGTGTGTGTGTGTGTGTTCACTCTCACTCCCTCTCCAACCCTCTCATTCTTTCCCTGCAAAAAAACTCAACCACATAACCAATGGACGTGCAGTGGCCCTAGTTGCTATGATACCAGATAGTAATATTTGCATTGAATATTAATTGGGCCCTCAGATCCCCATGTTGGGAGTGAAATGTCTTTCTGTAATGTGAGCATGATTCAGATGTCAGGGGAGAAGTAGGTAGAGAACAATAAACCTTCATCCTTTGGTAAAAGCAGGACAAAAATGGCTTTGTGTCTTTTGCTCACGTTAAATTAACAAAAAAAACACTAACTGATTTGCATGCGGTGTTCTTTTACCTCAAAGGAGTGTTTACCTGGGCTTGCAGTGGTCCTATTACTCACCAACTCTAGAGAATAACATGGATAATTCTGCTGTGTCCCCACTTTGCCCCACACTCAGTTATACAGAGAGAAAATTAAAGTATGATTGCAATGAGCCTGAGTTAATACCAGTTAGCTTTAATTTTTTTAATGTATTTTTCCTAATTAGATAGTTGCCAGCAGAGTGTGTCAGTAAACATGTGGAGAAAACAGTCAACATTGTTTGCATCTTAGGCTGTGTCCACAAGGTGTTGTTTGATTCCCTGGGTCCATACCAATTAAAGACAAAAACACACCTGCAGACTTGACTGACAACATTTCAGCTAGTGATTGTTTCCAGGTGTTTGAAATGCTGCTGCACAAGTATGAAGGTATTATTGAACCAAAACAACTGAGCACCTGTGAGAGTGGAAGTTGTAGAAAACACGTGTATAAGTAAATTTGAAGTCAGAAAAATGATGATTTGCAAACTTGTAGATTTTTTTTCTCCCCCTCTACCACAAACACCACATTAACAACACCTCACATTTTTGCTACAGTTGCTACAGTGAATATGGAGCAAAACACATTCACACACCCAAAAAAAAATAAAAAATATGTGAAGTCATGGCAAAATTTGCACCTCAGCAAATCAGTCTGTGAATTCATGCAATGAGAGTTGCACATCTGTAGAAAATTCTCAAATATTTTTTTCTTGGATATTTTTCTTGCACAAACGCAAAGTCAATAATGACAACTGCTTAAAATCAGTCTTAAATGCTGCCCCCCCCCCCCCCCCCCCAATCACAAGTGACAAGATCCGTGCACTTTCACTCGTGTAACACATATCTAACCAGAAAAACTTCAAATTTACTGATACACACTATTTCACAGGTGCCCAGTTGCTTTGCTCCAATAGTACCTTCAGACACAAGCACTGTGTCCCATCTTTCATGCACATTCATTTGGTACC